TATATAGGATGTCTCTCGAGAAAACTACAGCGATACGAACGTCAGCAACACAGCCTTGTTCGCACCGAGTGTGCTGCAATGGCAATCTAGTTTGAGCAGGTTTAATTGTATGATGATGTAATTCGCAGATATGAACTACGCGAATTTCTATTGCAAGTGAGAGTACCTCGGAGACTTTTCTATCGCAAAATTTCAGTAAGCGCTTTCCCTCGATCATAACCCAACGTCGTATACTAAGAACTTAATCTATCCAGTAAGGAAAAATTAGAGACACTGCAGAGGCGAAACCACAAAAGTCTTAGTATATAACCAATGACAGCAAACAGTGCAAAGATGAATACGATGGTAACAAAATATTATTAAACTAAAAAGTATTCGTGACTGTACCACACATGACTTAACAGTCTATGCATATTTTTTTTTGGAGGTTAAGGGCAAATGCATTATGCAGATCGATACTGAGAGTCCGATACTGTGGGACTCTCACCCTCTATGCATATACTGGGAAAAAGAAACGATCCCGATTTTCACAGCACTTGACCACTTTCCTGCTGTCTCAACGTACTCAATAACGTCACCCCGTTTTGTCCATGATTATCGCATTAGTGTTTCGTCTCTCTATTATGTACACGCCTGTTCCGTTGGTGTATTGTTTTTGTTGCTTTCGAAATTTGCGCAGTGCCGGGTTGGCTGTCAGCAGATAACTAACTGGCTGGTTGTGGAAGCGGCTCGTTGTTGTTGACTGGCTGCTGGTGGCATTCACCGTTGTCATGACGCGAACGAGCGTCCGACCGACAGACCGGCCGGGTCGTTGAGCAACCATCCCATCCCATAGCAGCAACCGACCGTAGTTGTTAGCAATGGTACTGATCGAAGGAGCACCAGTGGTTGTATGATAACTATTACTTGTAGTAGTCACTGCGCTTTTGCGATTTGTGTGTAGACGTATCATACAACGCCGAGACCCTTGCTCCTACCGCCACCGACACACAGTGCACCAATATACCGTTTCGGTTGCTATGTACCAGATCAGACACTGCCTATTCGGTTCTCTATGACTTACTGAGATGGGCAAAGAATGACTTCACTTCTAGCTATCCATTCGCCAATCAGTTGTTTCATTAAAGCAAATCATTGAGATAGGAAATTTAACTGAACAGCACATATCATACCATTGTTCTATTCTCTCATAGTCTCTCAAGTTGATGACTTTGTTGGCAAAGTTTCGCAATGTGATATCGCAGTGCAGTGTGCACTCTTTTTTTTATCTTTTTCTTTTATCCAGTCATTTGCTGTATAAATTATTGCCGTGCAAAGACATGAACAGCTACCTTGTCTTAAAGAACCACGCTAGTGTGTACATATATAACAAGACGCTGTCGGACACCAGAAGCGAAGGAAAGAAGTTCGTATCGTATCGAATCGAATTAAATGTTGCCCACCACGATGCCTGACTTGAACACGAGTGAACTGATCGCAGTCACAATTCAGTCACATGGACAGGGCAACGAAACGCGACGCTGACAAACGTTTGCTGGAAGATTCACATTTTGAACGTTTAACATCTCGCGCTAAGTAGCGCAACGTTATAGCACATTGCGACTGAATCCTGTCGTGCTATCTAGAATCATCTATAAAACTAGCTAGATAGCGCGCCTGCGTTGATTCAGAGCCCGATGCTTCCAGTGCTGAATCACTGTTGCTGGGCAACACTTGCATAGTGCACTTTTACGGTGCTGTATTCCTAGCTGTTCCCTTTCTAAGTATCGTGTCATCTAATTATATAGAATAAATTATCGACAGTTATTTACACACAAACCTGACCCATCCCCTGTAAACGCTGGAGAGCACTCAACCCACGAGGCCTAGCGGTCACCGCCTTCCACTCCATAGAGCTGCGCCGTGTACTGTTCGCTCCTCAGAGCTTAACAGTCGTAACGGCCACAGCAACAATTATCTACAGAGAAGTTATCGACGAGAAACAAATTCATGAGCACTCTTACAACCGGGGGTTCGCTCGTTTACATACATTCCATCACATAGCGACGCACGCCTTCGCACGCACCTGCAATGCTACTACAACTACTGCTACCATTAATACGAACGGCCTCACCAACGTAGGCATTAGCCGAGAGATGGCTTTAATGAAAACGTCGGTACTACTAATGTTCCTGCGACAACCGCTGAACTTTCAACTCGGTCTACTAACCTGTGTTTGTTGTGTGTAGAAGCCACTGGAAATCGAGGGGCAGCCCGAAAGTAGGTTACGTTCAAGGGTGTACATAGACTTAGTTGGATTATAGAAAAAACATCACAGCAACACTGAGCAGCGATCGGTAAACGGGAAGGCTGCCCTCCGTCTTCTGGCCGTCTGTGCCACAGCTAGCCCGTAACTACCAGCCAGTAGCATGCGCCTGCCTGGGTTGGGACGAGCTGAACTGCGGATCAATACAAAAAACGACGACAACACGATTTCGAAACCGAGCCCAAAGGCAGCAGGCGACGGGGACAAGGTCGGCTGCAACGTTTCGAAGCAACGCCGCGTCTAACCATCGCCGCCACCAGACCACTCGGATGGGCGCGGACCGAAAAACGCGCGCCGATTTCGAAATACGCCACGCAAAACAATAACATTACACAGAAGCGATTTGTCGCAGCAGCGCGATCGGGTACCCTCTCTGCCCTATTGATTGTACCGCTATGGCGCTGTTATCAGTATACAGGATCGACTGCTTGGCCATTAATAGCATATACATGTATTTTCGAGGGCAATAGGAAGATGGTTGCCAGCGTAATGTTTTCGACGCTGTCTGAGGACCGCTGTTACTAACGAGATGCACCGTGATAATAAAAAAATATTAGTTAAGAAACACTTAAATAAAGACCGAGGATGCAGGTGATTGTTCAGACAACTGCTACGCCAGCCGTACTCCGATAGAATCTAACCATGGACAAGCCACAATAAGTACAAAGCGAACGATTAGCAGCAACGGTCACTATTTTCCGGATACAAATACATTACCCTAGCTTATACAAATATAATAAATCAGTATTACTGCAGTGCTCAATGCATGCTGGCACTCACCGGTGAAAGCTCGAGAATTTTGCGTCCACGGCAGAAACGACAGGCTTGATGTTGGTCACATGCCGCTCTGTTGTTTGAATTACGATCGCGTTTTCCGTCTGCTTATGCTTGTTGCAGATGTAAGCAAAATAGTAAAAATTCTGTGTAAATTAAGGACAGCGATGTGAATTGAAACGAATTACGCAGTAGTGACTCATTTTCGTGCTTGAATTACTATTTGACTGTTGATTTGCCAAAAAGTGTGTCTAGCCGAAAATGCTTTCCGAACCATCCAACAAACGTAAGTTTTCCGCCAGCCAATCGCTTTACGCGTTTCGAAAAACGAAGTTCTATCTCGAACTGCAAGGTGATGATTGCCTTAGCTTCATTAGGTGCATATCATTACGTTTTGTTTATTCCCTTATGACGAGCTATTCCCGAGGGTCTGTCTAGCATTAGAGAGCCTCAGGAAAGAAGATTAATCTGCCATTAGAAACGCAATAAAACTGAACATGAAATCTGAATTTTCAGATTGACATACGAGTATTATCCAGAAAAATTGGTTATATGACAGGATGTTCGATCTGAGATATCCACAACTTCGAAGCCTTGTTAGAAAGCCAAATTGCAATTTGAAAAATAATTCGTTTTAATATCTAGTCATTGCCTTGCGGAAAGAAAATGGCCACAACATCACTCTTGACTTTCAACAATGTGTGCGTAGTGTAATGCTTACCTTTTTTGCTGGAAGAAGTAATTATTAACCTTATATTGACTTTAAATACCGGTAATATTTCGAAAATTTATGGATGTACGTGGAATTCAAAATTGATTTCCTTTAGGAGCGCCGCTGAGTGAACAATCATGTTCAAAAGCACTCGGTATTTTTGCTAAGGTAATATTACAACCTAACCTGTGATTTTGACGTTGAATCCTGATAAGCAGTCTTCTCTTGAAAATATTATTCATGCGTTTGGTTGATCCTTATTCTCTCACTCTCAAGATTTGCGGAGAGCCAACGAGTGGTGGCTTAAGACAAAGCTACAGTAGGCTATCTGTAATAATCCTCGTGGATTTGAAACACTCTGGGGCTACTGACTTTGGTTGGGTTAGTGGCTGTGAAAAGCCCTTGATCGAATGAGCCATGTGATGAAGCACGATTCAGGGAAGCGCATCAAAAGAACCCCGATGAGATTTTTGCTGTGCAGCTGGGTGCTCGGTGTATCAAACCCGCCCAAAATTATATCCTACATTCCGCATATGACTAGAGCAACGTTCATCTCACAAGGTATTTCCGCTTATTCCTGAGAGCTCAATGCGCTAAAATTCGACAGGTCATAAACGTTACATGCTGCATGTTCACTACGTCAGTCATGATCTCAGTTCTAACCGAAATAAGCTCACAGGGAAAAAAAAGAGCATATACGTAAAACATTACCGAATTGGTCGGGTTCTCAGTGAACTTCAAAACGAATAAAGTATATGCAAAACGTTAGTCAATGCGTTGCACAAACTTTTTTTTTTATGTAGCAGAAACCTACGGAAAATAATGAAACGAGCAATACAATACCACCAAAATCATTTATACATTAAATTTTATATTTTGTTGTAGAAATAATCATAATAACAAGTTCCTGAACCACAAATTCGAATAGAGTAGCAAGCAGTTGTGCAAATCTACACTGAATATATTAAATTAAAAGCTTATTGCTCGTATCAGATAGGTAATTGCTTCACGTGTGCTTTATTCTAATGCTAAGTATCTACCTATAAGGAAACTTCCAGTAAGGGCAATCCTGTGGTTAAGCATTCAACGTTTTTGCTCAGAACGAAGTTCTGTAACACTTCTGTCAATATGCGTGGTCGGGTGCTGAGTCAATTAATTGTAGATTCTAAGACATACTTTTATTCGTTTATTATATATACAAATGGAAATTATTTGTACAGTACCATATTTACATTGAATCTGTCTACACAAAAGAAAAATCGCACACTGTGTTTTGTATACCGACGTACTGCATAGCTGCGCTTAATACGACATGTTTAATGTGGGATTAAATATGTTATACTGATGGCACATCATACTATTTTGCAAGAACATTTATACTTTGTCATACGGCATTGTATCTGTTTGTTGAAAACAATCTTCGGTTCTTATTTGTACGCATAGTACATGCCAGGTTATGGATTGAAGTTCATTATGAGGTTTTTCGTTCTCAGTGTAAGCAACGCTGGGTCTATAGGCTTTCAAAGATAAGTATTTTTCGAGAATAAAGTCTCATTTCGTACTAAATTTCAGTTGCCTTCTTCATTCATTGCAATGCACCCATGCATTTTAATGTATCATGAACAAATAAGGATAAAATCCCCAAACTTGAGGTAACTACGCACATTTAATCTAACTTAGCATTAAATACGCTGAAATCAGACCCACCTTTGGATGGGAAAATAACATCCCTTTGGATTGTACACAGTTCTGAAGATTTCTTTTAAAATATATTTTCAAAACTATATCTACTGTTGATCAAGCTCGCGAATCGTAAGTCGAGTCGAGACAGCACTTTTCATAAGCGGAATAAGTCGTGCCAAATTGTAGCATTCAATGAGGTTACCGACTACTCATCGGAGTCGCTACCGTGTCTCCTTCGTTTGACATTTAGAGGTGAGGTAAATCTTCGTTCTGATGGCCCCGATTGACTCTCGCTCGACGTGCTTCTAGAGGGCTTATGTTTTCTATAGGCTTTATTGAATGGGTCTACATCCGACGATTGCGATCGACCCCGAAGCGGCGAACGAGAAAGACTTCGAGACGAACTTGCGTTTTTTTTGGAAAAAGCCTGTTTTCTCATTGGCGATGGTCGGGTACGATTTATTTTTCTCTGCCGTTTTGGAGAAAGGGACCGTCTGACAGGAGACCTTGATCTTACTCTTCTCGGAGAGCGTTCCGCACCTTTAAAATGCGCAAATCTTCTAGGAAGATGCCTTTGTTTACTATAATTTTTGCCCTCATATCGTTGTTTTCGTAAGTCGTTTTTGGTTAAATTAGTTCGAATCGTCAATTTCGGGCTTATATCCCGACTGTACCCATTAACTTTTGGGCTTGTAATCTGCTTACCGCCCTCATCCCCATCTCGGATTTTCCGTGGCCTACCGTCACTGAGGGACGGCATCGGGCTAATTTGACGATTATCTCTAGGACTTCTCGATAGTCTTCTGAGAGTAACCGGGCTTTGCCTATTCCTGTGGAGCAGCCCATCCCTACGGTTACTGAATGCCCGTGTAGCCGATTCTTTTCCATCAGAACTACCTGGAATAATGTTTCTTGCAACGCGTTCAGCTGAGCTTCGAATGCTGTCCTGACTCTTTGAGTCAGGGCTGCGTGATCTCTTTCGCGAAGCAGGATCTAATCTTTCTGCCCCGGTGTCACTCACAGAAGTAGAGGAAGGTTCACTGTTTTCTCGGTGCCCTCTTTCTCTCGTTTCTTTTTTATTTCGTTTGTCCTTTTTTGCTCTTTTCTCTTTTTTTCTGTCCTTTTTCTTTTTCTTGTCTTTCTTGTTTTTTTTTTGCTTTTTACGTTCGAGCTTCTCGAGCTTTTTAAGAAGCTTTTTTTTATCTTTAAGGGACATCCTACGAAGCACCTCCTCCTCCTCAGCCTGCGTGCCTAAATTTTCAGCAACCATTTCCTGCTCTACGTCCAGACCTCGAGCTGTGAATTAGAACAACAAAAACAGAGATCAGTCATACTTCAAAAGACCATTTATGTACACCGAAATGTTCCTAGAAAAGTTTTATGCTAATACTGAGAAGAGCCTTCCAATAAGTGATCACCGTGTGTATTTTTACAGTGCAATAAAGAACGTGCTGACTAAATATATTAATAATACCTAATTTTTTCGTAGTCTGTAAAGAACAATATTGACAATGAAGTTACACCAGGTTCCAATGCGCCGTAAAAGTCCAGTAACAAAATGACAACCTGATAAATGTAATATAGATGCTTTTGTAAAATGTATAATAATATAGCATTTTTTGCAGTAAAGTGTTTCTAAAGTATACATATTAGTTGCTGCAACATGACAAAGATGCATGTAGTATGCATTGTAAGAGGAGAACCATACCGATTGCACCCTGTTTAAGACGGAGTTTTTGCTCTTCTTGCATCATAAGCATTAGTTCGATCGGATCCTGCGTTACCTCTTTCTTTTCACGCACACCCTGAGTCTAAAAAATTAGGTATACCACAGAAAATATTTCGTTATTCATTGCTGAGATTGTCGATTACACGCTCAGATAACAGGTAGTTATTTCGTTTGCGCTGTCATAGAACCATCATGTTGATCCGTATCGAAACAGAAAATCTTGTTTTTATTTAGAGTACATTATATAGTATACATTTCATGCTGAATCAATTCATGCTGAAGTCAGAAATCCGGCAATAATTGTGTAAAATATTTTCAACTAAGATAAACTATTCTTTATCTTTGTGTAATAGTAATTACGGTACGGCTAGAGCTAGTGCTTATACCTCGGCGTAGCGGGGACACTCTCGATCGGTGTTGATATGACCCCATTTGCCGCATTTTAAACACTTCACGTTGCGAACCTGAATGCCAAACGGCTGGTCTCGGATGTCCTCGTTTCCTATACAAATTGAATTCATGTTTATTACTAACGCAGAGAACAAACCCTAAACAATCCTGGTGCACAGTCCGACAAATGCATGTTGTATATTTCATCACTAAGGTGAGCTATATTGGTATGTTGAAAGAAACTGCCTATTTTATACCAATCTAGGAATACGTGTTTGAACAATTCTGATTACCGAATTTTTAGTATTTAGCTTACGGCACCACTAGCTCCAAATTTAGCAAATCTAACTGATTCCCATTTGATGAACGAGTAGACCAATACCTCTGTCCGCAATAAATTGACTTCTAACTAAGCCTTCACCAAATCTCTTATTGCAACCTGCCGTTTCCCTTCAGTAGTTCGGCCCAAGTAAAATGCGTTTTTTTAACCAAATTCTTCCTTGCACTAAGATCAGTCGGAGTATTCGAAAGCGAAATTAAACAGGATAACTATATCGTCCTGAAGTAGACAACTTGGCTAAATTACCCTGATTTCATACACGTTTTCTGCACCTCGAGGTCTGATTCTAGAGTTTTAGTTTAGCCATCACTAATTGCCACATTGTTAAAGTGCACATGTCTTGGATTACGTGACAACCCTGTTACCTTTGGCCCAGCTTTCTCGAGGAGCTTGATATTTTCTCTGCCATTCGAAACGGGGTTCAGCTTTATCACCTTCATCCTTCTGTTCTCTTTTGAGACCTGGTGGGGCGTCATACATGAAGTTTAAGGAAAGCTTTCCTTTCGATTCCGTTGACACCATTGACCTGTGTAGCAAACGTACATAAAAAATGATAACCCTACTAAAATTCTATAAATGCATGTGCATTTTATATACATTCGAAATTATCGAACGAATCACAATACAAACACTTGTGTTGCCTGTATTATGGGAATCTTTGAGTTGGACAAATGACATGATGAAACCTGTACACACATTACCCCATAGGTATGCACCCATCTGCCCAATGGGAAAGAATAGCATAATTTGTTGATACATATGCTAAGGCTATGATTCACCTATTATTGTAGAGATTTTGTTCTTTCTCATATTGAGCTTTGAGGTCTTCCTGTTTGCGCTTTTCGGCCTCTGCAGCCTGCTCCGCCTTCCAGACCTAATTACCTTATGGAGACAAAAGTTATATATTAGCAAATGATACGCGTCTTCACGAAAGAGTTATAGCCTTATCGAAGAAAAGCTATATTTGATTAAACCTCTTAGACCATCAAATTGGCCACTGAGTTTTAGCCAGTGAAAGAGCTGATGCCTCATGTGGTGTACACAATAGTGTACACCACATGAGGTCTTTGGCGTCTACCGTTGTAGGGGAAGAAGCTAAAGAGATCAAATTAATGTATAATATATCTAACGATATCCTGGATATCATAGTCGCAGCCACCAGTCACTACACACTTCTGACTGTGGCAAGCAATCATAATGATTTGGAATGTTGACTATGCTCAAATAGTGAATATAACTCTTTTATTCATTTGCAAAGCAAATAATTATTATTGCCAATTTAATCGTCATCGCAATCATATCAGAAGAAATACTGCAACAAATACTTAGTAATATGGAAGAATTTAGACAGTTTGGTTGAAAAATTTCAACGAACAGCACTTACTCTTTTGAGGTTTTCTATAGACGAAGGATGAAAATCCTTTTTACACATGAAATTATTGTAGCCTTTTCCCATTATCAATTTTGCAGCACAAAATTAACTACTAGACAAAAGGTCCACCTGCCCTGTTGAACAGACCTAACATGCAATTTCTTGGCAGCATAGAAACAGAGATAAAGTTTGTAAACATTACAGACATAACGACGTCTGCTACAAGCAAAAAGGCCCGCGAGTTGGCAGCCATAATAAAACCGAAGATAAAGCTTGCTACAATTTTAACATTTTTAACGTATTTTATAATTTTACTCTTATAATATGTATAAATACCGGTTAAGTCAACCAAATCTTGTACATATAGGAGCCATTCTATAGGTATCACATAAGCAAGTTTTGTAACTTGGTAATTTATTTGAGTAGTTATTTGTTCGGTTCACAAATATGAATACTTCAACCTAGGTAGCACTATTAGAAGATATTGGTATGAAATGTGCACATCTATGAGGTATGCTCAATAAGTCTTAGAAATTCTGCATTTGACATCAAACTCAATAAAAATGTTGTCGTTTTATCAAAAAAAACGCAAAGCTCCAGCGGCCATGTATGGTTGGCTGAGAAGTTGGCATAGTGCAGTCTCGACGTAAATCGTCGTACGGACATTTATACACGCAATGTGAATAATTCTAGTTTGTGGAGTGTGTGGACACAGCAGTCATCACGAAGACGGATGCGATCTAATTGCTCTTAAGGCTACGAGGCTGGTAAAGGACAGTGTAATCCCAACCAAGGCTCAGCTTAGTTTGCCATCATGTCTCGCCTTATCGAAGGCCTCTCAGAATACTGACGAGGATGCTGCTTCTAATATGCTAGGATTACATCGTGGCGAATGGGTAGAAGCCAAAGAGAATTTATTGAGAGGTACATGGTTTGGCCCTCTCGATACATCAAAGACTCGTCGACTTCGAGGAAATCCGCGCATTAAGCTAGCAGTAAGTTCAAAACAGTACGCGTTTAACTCAAATAAATTCTGAAAAATCCGTAGTGGAGAAACTTGTACGTTACGCAACGATGGTGAAGTATAATTTCTAAAATAATAGTCGGTGTCACCAATAATGCTCAGGTCGAGGCCGAACAGAAATGCATTCATGTTTAGCATTGGGTTCGTGTTATGAATACGCTATAACCACAGTAAAAATTGCATTTGATATGTATATTTTATTATCAGAACATACAAAATCGGAGCCGCCTGCCCTTATGGTACGATACATTTGATCCGACCGTTTGCAACTGGATGATGTTGGTACCGATATGTAAAAAGAATCAGATACCGTCTGATGGATTAACATCATCAGTCAGCGCAACAAATCTGTTGGTGGTCGAGTATGACGGAAAAATTTACTTTGTTGCTTCAAGAGAGATCAGAAAAGGAGAACGACTTGAAGCTGCCTACTCTCCATCGTACAAAACTTCTATCGGTAGGTGACTACATAACGTAATTAATAATCAGTTTTTTTCTAATAAATTGACCTATTCCTGTTAGACATGTGAACATGCCGACTAGGTTTGGGATGAATTTTTCGTTAGTGCTAAAGTAAATATGGCCTATTAGCGAAACCTTAATTTTTAAAGTATATGTTGATATTTTCAGATAAAATAATAGCAGCCGAGAAAAAACGCGTTTGGAGCAAGATTTCGCATTCAGCCTCCATAAAGCGAAGGAAAATTCGAAGCAGTAACGAAAATGAAACATCGAGTGAAGTCGCACCATACATCTGCGCAAGCTGTGCAGTTTGCTTTGACAGGGAATCTAAGTTTCAAAAACATATTCAGGATGCGCATAGAAACACATGCGATTTTGGTTTGAACACTGTAGTTGACAAGCATCTCATTCTTTGTGATAGCGGAGCTACTGGACTACAAGTCGTAGAAAACGTCACGGTACAGTCTGTAAACCAAAATTTGTTGCATGAGACGGAACAGCCTACTTCACCACAAAAATTAATTGTAGACTTACACTCTATCGGTGCAGAAACATCTGGACAAAATAAGGGGAAAGCAAACCTTGCTCGTTCCTTGGACATTGACTCGTCACGTGGGCAGGCCGTAATAGTGCGAGGGTCAATGGGGGTCGTTGATAGTACTGCATGTGAGACGAGACCCGAAATCTCAGAAGATGCCCTAGAATATGAACAAGAGGCTGTGGACACTTTAGCGACAATAGACAGTGCTACGTCGGGTGGCCGAATTGAATTGGAGGTTGTCGAACGGTTTACTAACCTTTCCAGTACCGGTAGTACATCAACTAGCTCGGTTATGCGCAGCGGTGCAGCTTGCCACATATGTTTGAAGTGGCTCTCAAGTAGCGCCACGCTGCGCAGCCATGTCCGCGCATGTCAAATGGTAAGATTACATGGCATGGAAATAACGATTATTTAAAGTTACATACAAGGCATTTTTCATCAGTATTATTTATGCTTTTAAGTCACGTATTTAGCTTTATTATTGGGTCAGATGTCATGGTTTAACTTCAAATCTAAACGTGTCATTAGTCAAGGAACGGTGACATACCTGATTTAGGAGCGTGCCGTTACTGTGGTTTAGTTCTGACATCTCTGCCGGAATACCGCCGTCATGTGCTCAGCCACCTACTTGAGCACGAGTGTCCACTCTGCAGGGCGCGTTTCAGGTACGCAGAACATGTGCGCACATGAACGAGTTGTGTTCTCGCCATTGATGACAGTTAGTAGTTTTCTGTAAAGGGACAGGAGGAACAAGTAACTGCTTTCCATAGGTCTATTATCTATATAGGGACCAAAAGTGAGTGAAACGTTGAATCAATATTTTGGTGCAAACTATAGATTTTAATTGAAAACGATGATTCACTGATTTAGTAGTACTGATGTCTTCATATAGCCATTTTTGAAATACTTTTCTATTTTTTAGAATAAACAAAAAAGACTTATTCACTACACTGTAAGTGTTTTTGCCTGCAAATCCGTAATACCCTAAGCTATGTTATTATTGTATGTATATAAATAAATGAAATCTTATGATAACTGTTTAATTGTATATTATGAATTACTTCTAATAAAAGAAAAATTGTTTATACTTATTAATGCTTTAATTTTAGGTTAGCGTCATTGGTAGTTTCTCATGCATGTCCTTGTCTTCGGGCCAGCCGTGAACTAAGCGTCGAACACCATTGCGACGTTTGCGAAATCGATATCGGCAACCTGATCTCGACAGAGGTGCATTTACGGTTAGGTTGTCAAGGGTATCGACGACCATATAAGGTGAATATGTTCATCTATTCGGATGTATTACGATATGTAATACCGCCCTCATATTTATTATGAAAGTATCTACATACTTTGAGGGACGAAGCACACCATCTTTTTTCTTATTTTACCCAACTCTTTCAGCATGCATTTCGGAGGGAGACAACTGTGTAACATTTATGCCTAGTCGCAGAGCAGTACTCGAACCAGTGATTCCAGATTCTTGTCGCCAAAACCTTAAGCAGATCTGGCGATGCACGCAGCGTTGATGTCATAAAAAAACAAATGCGAGGTTTTCAAAAAAGGCCAAGACTCCCCGCTGGCAAGTCAAAATTCGAACTCCAGCTCTTTTTGACTCGACCTGCATTAATCTAGATGAGCATTTCCTCAAAATTCAAAAAATCTCCAATAATCTATTTTCGTATGCGATTTACAGATTTTGATTAAATACCATTTCTAATTTCAGTGCGAACGTTGCGAGCAATCATTTTACTTGCAATCGTCTCTACAGTATCACCTTTGTCTTGTCAAAGGAGAAGAAGGTTTGAGGGAAATTGATCTGGAGACAACAGCGCCCGGCTTCGTCTGTGAGGTATCAAAAAGACTATGCATAGCGTAACCCTTCTATTTGAAAACTTCACTTGCGCCATATTCTAATTGATATAATGCTAATAATCAAATTGATGCTATCAGCCAGGTAACTGGTGTAATGCTATGTCTGGCATCTTTTAGGTGCCTGACATAGAAAATAAGATAATTAAGGATAGTAGTTATTGTTAAGGTCGAATGTTCGCTCGTCGGTTTTCAGACCTGCGGGGCATTTCTATCCTCAACGTCGTCACTAAACAAGCACAGATTAAGGCATACTAACCCTGCATTCAATTGTGCAGAATGTGGAAAATCTTTTCATCGTCAAGATGGCCTCGAAGGGCACAAGGCCACACATCAGCGTCATCGAGAACGGCAGCAGCAGCAGCAACAACAACAGAGCTTACCACTGCCTGATGTAAAAGTGCTCAGTAATGAAGCAGCCGAAGGAAAAGACGTTTCGGGTACTGCGGTATTATCATATCCATCAGCAGAAAGAGTTACGACAAACAGCACCCATTGTTGCTACATGTGAGTGTCTCTTACATACCTGTGGATGCCATGATGAATACTTAATTATGCTTTTGACGATTAATGCAGTAAACTGTGTCCTATGGCGCCATAACAAATTTCAATCTTCTATGCGATGCTTTGACTAGGAATGCCTATCTATCTTCACGAGAAGCATTTCAAAGTGCTCAATGTATACGCCCCGTTTACGTACACCACACGTCACTTCTAGGTGTTCGCGACCATACCGTAGAAGTTAAAGCAACGTTTTCTATGTGCAATAGCCGCTGTTTCAATGTCACGTGAGTAAACGGCGAAGATTCCCTTTCTTATGAGTGTCAATGGTGTGCTTTCACAGATGCGGTAAAGGATTGTCTTCCAGGAGTAGCTTACGGGTTCATCTGCGTAGCCATAGCACAAACTACCGCTTCCGATGCCCGCATTGCGAAAAGGGTTACAACCAGAAGATAAATCTTGAGAAACACTTAATTTCCTCCCATCAGGTAAAATTATATAACGTTACTCGTAACAGTTACAATAAATAGCGTATAATGGGAAGCCTCAAAATAATTATTTCGAGTTCTATCTGTCATTCGCATTCGAGGCACTACTTTTATTTTCCTTACGGATTTATTGTTTAGAAATATACAAACAAATCCATATATATATATTGTAATCTAATCTATTGTATTTTTTTTCGCAGAGCTCTTGTAACCTCTTGTCATACGGTGATAAGATTTATTCTTGTAAAAATCAATGCAAAGAATCGCAGTTTTGCTTGTTATAACAACTACACGTAGAAGTATTCTTCGTTCCTAGCAATCTTCATATTTGCATTGATACGAGTATCTATTTACGCTAAGCAAATTAGATGAAATTGCCAAAACTAATGTCAGTAGTTACCTCAATTCTACATAGTTGTAATTTCATCTACAGCGCTAAGCAGTTAAATTATCCTCTCAAAAAATGACTGTCGCTTACATTTTTCAGTGGATTCGTCGATGCAGTACACCTTATTAGTCGACAAAAATTGCTTTAAACAGACAGTGACAAATAAGCGTAGGCCATAGACAATTTTTCGAATTTTAAAATAGGATCTTACAATACATAATGGCGCTTAGGAGTACCTAGGACTTAGAGGTTTTTGCTTTCCTCGTAAACTGCTCTTATTAAACTGTATGTATTTTTTCTATAACCTATAGACGATTATAGTTAAATGTTAAATGGCTGTATCTATAAATTGACTTATTTACAGTGCGTTTTCTAAGTGACGTTAGTTTCCTTTGAGTCGATGCTGTATTTTAGTGGACAGCAAATGGACCCATACTAATCATGGTGGCTTTGAACTGTACATAACTTCATTTTTGAAATATAATACCTAATTTTGGATAATTTTCTGCTTGTATATTATGTTAGTCAGTGAAATTTTGGTGCGGAGAATGTAAACGTAGCTTTACGTCAAAAGAGTCTTTAGAGTTGCACTCACTGGACCATCAAGGAGCTCCAAGGGAACATCGGTGTTCGCTTTGCCCAGCTGCATTTCATCGTGTTTACCAACTGAGGAAACATCAGCGCCACCTGTAACTATTGCCAACATGTATTTTTTTTTTATAAAAATCTCTTTATGTTTTTATCCTTTACACGTTTTGTACACAAGCGCTTATTTTCTGTATCAAACGGGCTCAAAGCTCTGTAAACTAATGCATTATCTTAGCTTTAACGTAATAATGAAGAAGCTGTATCGTATCCACTAAAGTGTACGTGTTACAATGCTGGTGCAGGCATAATGGTCGCATATTTTCGTGTCCGCTTTGTACATCGACCATGAAGCTGGCCGGTTCCCTTTTGCGACACCTGCGAACGATTCACCCGGATAGACCGGACGTTGCCGCTACGCAGGCTAAAGAGGTTGCTAATCTGGATAGGCGTCTGCCATGAACCGATTCTGGTAAAGGCGCAAAGGATGAGAGGGATCCGGGGGGTGAATCGAGCAGCATGGACTCTCATAAGGTAAAGTTGCCAATCGTAGCGTGGAAATGCGCTGTTCTACACACCATTGCGTTTTTTGGTAGGTAACTTTGTTACAGGGAATGGCTTGCGAAATGTCACGGTCGCGGAATTTCATATATAATAAAGTGATTGCAAGTCGTTTGCTTATTGGTTTATCTTTCATTAAAGGAACAAAAAATCTTTTGGAAAGCACGGAACTTATTTGAATCAGGAATAGAAAAATGACTTGTCGTATCTCAAACCAATCGAAATGCGGTTAGACTAAGTGAATCATTCATAGGTTTAATTTATTATATTTATTTATAGATATTTCAACTTGAAATTAAACATTCCATTTATTTAACCAAAACTATAAAGGCGTTTTTCTATTCGCCGATTACAAATGTGTGAGTTTGACCATACAATATCAACACATTTTTATTTTTTGCCAAACGCAGTTTAAAATTAGCAGCGGTTCAATTAAGTGAGTAAATAACAAAATCGTATCTGTTTTCAGAAGCCATCGCTTATGGAAAATCGCAACCCATTACCCAAGTACCGCAATCATGCAAAAAATGTATATTTACTAGCAGCAATCCAGAATCTGTAGTTGATAGAGATTAATATTTTAATTGATTGATGACAAATGATTGTCTATAATGTTGTTATATATGAATGTCATTGAAAAAGTTAGATTGGTATGGGTCATTCTACGTTAGCGCAATGTGTGATGTATAATGGTCTCTTGGGTATACAATCTTTCTATATTAGATTGGAGTCATTTTCATTTACACAAAGGAAAATTATGTACATTACAGTTACTGCATACAGTATATGCCTAAAAATTGTTTAGTAATTTATTTGACGTTTTGCGGTTATGACATGTATTTCGCGGTCTGTGCCAAGGTGCTACATGCCGGATAGAACTTTTTAAAAAGAGAGTGAGATTAGACATGACTGCTAACATCTTCGACCAGTATTGTAGTTCTTTTGCCGCGTATAATTTAAATATTGCTTACCCGAAGTATTTGATGTACGTGAGCTAACATTATATTCGATACGCATAATTTGATGTTTTCAGAACTCACCATTATAACATGTAATATAAACTAGATCAATTTTCGATGGAATCGAAGCAAAATTCTTCAGTGTCTTCAAACAGTCTCTGAATCTGCTAGCAGAAAGTATCATGGTATCATTGTAAACGGTGTCCTGATTTAACAGGATCCTAATTCATGTAGGTTCATGATAGTATTTACATGAGCCGTCAAACATTTTGATCATTCGAGGATTGCTTGGAAGCGAATTAGAAGATTAGTGTGAGATCAATATCAGTCAAACTGGCAAATTTGGCATAGATTTAATTAAGTATTTTCTTTATTGATACTGCAAAACGGTGTACATACCAACTCAACTTGATTATAATTTCTCATCTTGTCAAAAAACTAAATAAGCTCTATTTATAAGGAAACGTATGGGAGAATAGGTACTATTCTATACTACTGTATCATATTATTTGCTGGGAATGTCTTAAACAAAAATATCAGTTGTAAATGTGCGAGTTTGGTAGAGTTGTGTTTTCTATTTGAAATACCGTTGAGGTAAAACTATAATTCTCTGTACCGTGTGTGAGACCAGGGTTAGAATTATTATAGGCTTAGCCCCATTTAATGAAGTTCTATCGTAACTCTGTTTTTAACGAAAAGTTTTATTTGTTCAAATACGAAAGTAGAATTTCACAAGCGTAATTTAGTTTGTTTTACACAGATTGTGCTAGTCGTAGTTGTTATAGAGAAAATGTGCTAAAACATTTTCAGTAGCTATTTTATGCGGAGATCACACACGTGCTACACCAGTGTTTACTTTTAATCGTTACATTATACGTTTAATACAAGAAAATATATTATATAACTTTACATGCATATATCGAGCTTTATAAATTGCATATTTTACTCTATTGGTCCATTAAAGTGGACAGTGAATGACTTTTATTGAGAAAATACAAAAATGAGGTTTCTACAACAAGAAATAACCAATAAAAAAGGTGTTGAACAACTACGATGTTATGTAGAGAAGACGATTCGAACTGCAAAAAGGAGACAACTTATTCACTCAGTGAAAAATACAAAGATATTCGATTTAACTGTTATTGATTACAGATGTTGTAGTTGGGCATACCTCCTTTTTTTTAGCACGTAATACATTTTTTATTACGCCTCACTGCCAGCATTCTAAGCTCATAAAATGAGTAGTGCAACAATGTGGTGCACCTGATTTTTTTTAATAAAAGAACTTACGGATTCATACAAAAACATATTTTTATTCGTCGATGACGTTCGAGGCTCAAATACTGAGAATAATATGCATAGAAGGTGCAGTCGCTCCTTTAATTATCATCTTATGGCGGCTCTGTATTCACATAATCGTTGCTCTTTACGCTCCGACAGAAATCAGTGAAACTCACAATCTTATTCATCCAAAGTCTGTTATCTCTGTAAAATCGTAGAATATACATAATATCTATCTTGTTTCCTCTACGCTAACAAATAAAGAGTTATAAAAGTAAATTTTCATCTTTGAGTACTAAATTCCGTTTAGCATACTTTAACAGAACCGAGCATTTAGATTTAATGGTTCTATGTAGACTATGCGTTTGTTATGGACTAACGGTAATCTAAATTTAATATATTGGTTTAAAAAAGATGAATACTCAGAATTCACAATTTTGCAAGTACACTATACAAGAGTATCTTTGTTTTCTTTTATCATCCATCGCCGAAAAAAATTACTCCTTCATAGTTTAGAGCCACATTTAAATGTTCGTAGCGGGTATTTGGTGGGCTAATGCATTGCGGACTATTTTTCATAGGCCTGGAAAGCAGTTTCAGTTCATCCTACTCCATTCTCTACCACCAATACATTCTCTGTAGCAGACGACTTCCGTCACCTACTTGAGAGAGGGAAGTTCATTGCCGAATCATGTGGTGTTTTTCTTTTCTATCGGTGAGTGGGTAACTTTTGCAAAGTGATTCTCTATGCGAAGTCGAAGCCCCGCTCGACTCAGAGGTGAGTACAGAAGTGCTGGGCAATGTTCACTATTGCCATTTCAAACTTTTGCCAGTTTGTCCACATAATCAGACAGCTATTAAGTCGTGTTCAAGGCTAAACTCTAACGATTAACGTCCACCCATGTTGGCGCCCCCTAGAGAGTTCCCACGCGGACTCTTTTTCGTTTATTATTTTCTCATTTGAACATTCCATTTTTCCTATCGGTGTAGCATTGACAATTTTATAGCAAGCTTGCTTGCGTGCTTAAGTAGGAAAATTGTCTGAGAAAAAACTGTAATTATTTGTCGTGACGAAAATTGAGTGAGATCGTCGGGGTCTGTATCATGTGTGCGCGTTTAACGCAAGTACAAAGCAAGTATTACACAGTAAAAGTTCGCCTTCTTAGGAAATCTGAATTTGATTAACAGTCACAAGTATGTGGTTCAAACGCTATTTTCGTTTAGCCCATATATCTACCGGTAGCAAATTAGCACAGCTCACTGCTGGATATGAATAGTAAATTTCTGAATAACTACCGTTATATATGGTTATCATTTTCTTCAATTCTTCAAAGGCTTTTTTTGTGACCGATGCAACACAAACAAGCTACAAAACGCTTTAGGTAAACAAATAAACGAGGGTGTATACTTTCTATGCGGCTTCACGCATATAATTCTATAGAATTGTTAGTGCATGGCAGATCCGGGAAATGCGGGTAACACGTTGTTATGCAGTTGAAGGGTAGAGTAAGTTGAGAATGGCGTTAACGTTATTGAGACAAAAAATATAGTGGACCTAGGCTTGTAACAATAAAATAATAGTTACACTTTGTGAAAAAGGTTTGATGCGATTAAAAGTACGACTTTTAAACCTCAGGCTCAAAGGAGACCATCAAAACGTATAAAATGGTTTCATGAGACCTTGTCCGTTTGTGCTTCACTGTTAACAAATAGCTAATAATTTATTTACTCGACGAGGCTGGTTATAGGTTTATTTCGCTTAGACGGTGCGCCTCTTTCTTTCTCCTTAGGCAGATTTCGATGAAGGTTTATAACTCACGTGTTATTTGCATAAAGTAATAATATTGTGGAGTTATAACTCCACAATATATATATATATATATATATATATATAGAGATATATATATCTCAGAGGGTGTGAGCATTACCCTATACTTAACAATGGAGAACGAGCGTGTTTTGTATTTTATTCAATTCCTGGAGCCGATTGGCCTTAAAATTATTTTTCAATGGCAGATATATTCACAGAATATAAATGAACTGAAATTAAAATCAACCTTGCTTTCGCAGTAAGCCAGCACGTTACATATTCGTTATGATAGTTGTTTTCGTGACTCTCCAATGTAAATACAAATCGAACGCAATAACCTCGTGCACATAACTGTCTGGTTATCGATTTCATAACTTTTCAGAGAGTAGCAGTAATGAGTGAAGTGTGGAATCGAATGAAATTCAGCTTGAGATGAGTTCTTCAACTGCCCAAGAGGTATCTTTTAAAGATACATAAATATGAAAATATCAAACTATAATGCACGATGCCCCTTTGTAGTTGTCAGAAAGTTCGTTCAAAGAATTGCTTATTAAAAGGTTTTTACGATCATTATTGTAGTTATACTTTATCCATTTAGGTTTACGCTTTGTAAAACCTTAAAAAGAATCCAAAAGTCTTTATGATTCGATGAAGCCAATGATTTCACATGTTCAAACATCTATTTGTCCAAGTACAGTGTACTTCTACGCTGAAGGCACTTTCAGTTAAAATGACTGGAAGCCGTATTCGATGAATCTAGTTAATCTATCTATATTATATATAATTTAGTAGAAGTTCAGTTAAGTCCAATGATTTTGTATATCTGTGTGCAAACGTTAATATTTTAGTACTGATTTGTTAAACAGTTGAAACAGATAGAACAGAAACTGCTTGCTGTTTTGTTTGTGTTAAAAACTTCCTCTCTTATAGAGTGCCAACGTACCATTTGTAGAATACGTTTTATAACAATGCAATAGATTAGCTAATTTGAAAATGCTAACAATTGCTCGCGACCTTTATAGTTAATATGGTATGTAATATTAATGTTTTGAAACAAATCCATCAAGGTTAACTCAAAAAATCTTCCTTAAGTCATATAAACTACATCAGAGGGCTGACTAATCTAACACAAGCGTTGCGTCTAGTCCCGGTTTCTAGCACACACCTAGAAAGCGCTCTGCCTTAGGTTCGTAAGCAGACACGTACCGTCATGGAGACCTCTTTTTTATGGCAAGATCAAAAGGCGCTTCATCATCGTCGCCAGTCTGTATTTGTTTCTTTCGATTCAGAAGGGAAAGTTCTCCTAATAACCTAATAGCAAAGCGCTGGCGTAGCAGGTGACGTGAGGCGCATATAAAATTGAAATCTGTCGCTGGATTTGTACGGGACTTGTTTTTCACATATCTGCCGCAACTGTGGCTCTCTTCTCGTTATACATATAGTATCGTCTATATTAATATCGGTGGTACTAGTTACATTATTTTGGTGTTGCTTATATCACCAGTTGGGAAACGATTTAATCTTAACATGATACACCTGCAATTTCGACGTTTACTCACAATCTGAGCTGATTTATTGAAGCTGATATCGTGTTCAATTTCAACAGTACCCTCAGGAAGTCCATCCGAATCTATTAGCATCGTCCCCCAATTGCTCTAACTACGAAGACATGTCTAGCCATCTAAAGGTAGGTGGAACGTCGGCCACAAAATCGGGGCCCACCAAAGAGAAAGACACCTTAGCACTGCATTTCGTGGCTGGTTCCATATCGGGATTTCTTACTCGATGTGTTTGTCAACCGTTCGACGTTCTCAAAATTCGCTTTCAGGTTAGATTCGAAAGCAGCCATTTAAATTATTCCGTTACGCATAATATGAGGATGTTTGTCGAATTCAATGAGCATATAACATAAAAACATTAAAAATTATCGTTTTATTTTATGTGAACGGAAGCCGGATGTTAATATCGTTTTACTATTTTGATGTTTACGTGAAGCGAGAATACCGAGTTGTTGAGAATCTGAGAATATTGAGAATACGCATCAAATCGGTTATTTTGTGTCAGGACGAACGCATTGCGTCATGTTTCAAGTTATTAGTTACCTTTGCCTTTAGCTGATTATCAGAGAGTTAAAACAAGCTTCTATGTTTGATCGTTCTTGGAGAAGTGTTATTCAAGTTATATTCAAGCCACAAGGTATATCAAAACCACTATATCATAGTACACGCTTAGTTGAATAGCAAGCACCGCAATGTATAAGAGTTTTCAAGGAAGTTAGAAATGAATCACTCTTTCACTATAGAGGCTTGACTACATAATTATCTCCAAAAATATATATATGAGGTTTAAATGTTTTTTAATCGGGAACATGTTACGAACAGTATACAGTCGAGAAGGTGCACTCAGTTTAAGAAAAAAGTAATTCCAAAAAAAGAGCGTTATTGCCTTAAGTCAGCAACGCTCATCTGTATGAGAATATAAAAATTAGTTGCTTACTTAATTCTACTTACGTATTTTTCTAAATTCCAGCTACAACTAGATCCCATTACGAAGAACTGCGACTCGGCAAAGTACTCAGGGATAAAGCAGGCTTGTCGCCTTATCCTGAAAGAAGAAGGTAAAAAAAATTATGATTATTTGATTCAAATCAGTTATTCGATAGTGTTGACGAAACGCTATTTATTTCCGAAGTAATATCTAATAGCTTAAGCACCAGATGAAAACGACGGAAAATCGTTTTTTAGTTTTTTTTTTTTTGAAAAAATTATCCAGATCAGTTAGCTAGATAGTTTTTTTTGTATATCTTTATTTTTCTTAATTAGGGATTGACTCAGATAGATTCATCCCAATAATTTACAAATTTGAATCATACAATGTTTGCTGGATTGCGGTTTGGGGTGCGAAACCTTATCAATACTAACTGTATTGCAGTTACGTTGCCGCCAAACAGAAGCTGGCGCTATAAGAAATGGCACTTCCACGTTACATCCTAATGACGTATGTACATTGTGTAGGTAGAGCAGTTAACGGGTTTAACTTATATTATCTTTCTTTATGTGCCGCTTCAGGTATCACAGCCTTCTGGAAGGGTAACATACCAGCGCAGACGTTAAGTATCGTCTATGGAGGCATCCAGTTTTACGGGTTCGAGTACACGAAGAACACACTTTACCCCAACAGAAACGATCTCATGTCTAATTTTATTTGGTAAGCTACATATGTGTTTGGTTTTTAATTAATTTCTGCAGCAAACTTAATGAAAATCACAAAATGTAGCCTGCATCAGCTGTGCCTACCACATTGTTAACTCATTACACTGTGCGAAATAAATGGAAAATAAGCTATTAAAATAGTGTTAGGTTCGTATCATACACCTAAATGTAACGCCAAAGACACTGTGCTGTTAACTATGCGAATAAGGTAAATTTCCAAGGCAATTTGTTATCTTTTTTGTTGGAACTTTCCCCACTTCGCCCGATGGCGTTAGGGACCCATAGCGATTAACTAAAAGGTAGATGAATAAAAGTATTAAACCCACAGCGTAGACATGGCAAACAGAAATGTTCAATGCATCATAAACGTATCAAACTAAACAAAAGAGTACCTTGATGTTACTGCAATCCGGGAAGCGCTTACGTCATCGGGGCCGGTGGCCAAGGGACGAGGTCGTCAATATCAAACCCATCCTCCACGGAGGTCTGTCGGCTTTGAGGCACGAGATCAGCCATTCTAACAATGATGAACCGGCTCACAGTCTTACTGTTGGCAAAGCCTGAACACAAAGGTGCGCGTGTTTTGCTTTGAGGTTTTTATACCGACCGTTTTGCTAGTCGCTGTACAATCTCATCCTTCAATTTTAATGGTACAACGACACTGACAGCGGTTTGTATTGTTTAAACTTTGTAGATCTGTGGCGACCATATTGATAGGATGATCGTCGTAATAGCGAGGTTACGATACATTTCGGTGCAGAGTAGCGTGCCAAACCACCTCGTTTCAAACCTGTGAGCTTTTTACTGCTCTACGGAAACCATGTACTCGTAGATTTAGTTGTTTCCTAACTACTCAGTGCACGCATATTGTGTAAAGTCTTACCGCATTTTTGGGAAAGACATTATTTGCGAAGGTTCTCGATACGCGAACGCGTTTTCATCGTCTATTTGGACGCTAAACCTTGTTAAGCCTTTGTTGTAGGAAGCTGCATGGTAGCCAACAAAAGTGCTTTTGGTCTGAGAATTATTAAGCCGTTAAGGCGACTGGAGTCATTCAGCTCTGTTCCATGTTTAACCTATAAGGAGTGAGGAACCCAAGAATCCTTGATTCACGCGATTTTCTAAATAATTACGGAATTAATTAAAAAGAGGTATGGACCCAAGGATGGTTTTATTCGTCCTGTGTGCTTGAACTTAACTTTTCTTAGGTAAAAATTGTCGACAAAAAACACTGCAAAATCAAGCCGTAGTTACATCAAAATACGGCAATCGCAGCCAGGATACGCAACAGGTGCCACTTAAAGACGTGACAGGATGTGTCCAATTTTGAAAGTGGTTTTCTAAAGTAAATAGTATGCCTAAAGAGCACCAAATGGATGCGTCGTACTTTGTGTTACTTTCCTCAAAATAAATGATCGTTTTTTCGTTTCTTCGATTACCATTGTTTGATTTTAGCGGGGCTGTTGGCGGAGGTATGGCCATGACTATAGCTCACCCGTTGGATGTTTTACGCACTAGATTGGTGGCTCAGGGTGAACCAAAGACGTACTCAGGCATGTTCAATGCCATCGTAACGATGCGACGTCGGGAGGGTCCTCTGGCCTTCTACAAGGGGTTTTTCTCCAATATTCTTCAGGTAAATGATTAGATAATGACATGACAAGTTTATAATTTTTTTTCTTTGATAATAAATCATAAGGTTAAAAATATATGTGCAGACTTAAGTTATCCTTATTTTCGTACGTATTTAATCGGATATCGTGTTTTCCCAAAGGAACCTACCGGTTTCAAATTGCTTGGGTGCATTATAAATTTTCAATAAAAATATTTCGTCAAATTATCGATTTCTAACCATTTAGAAGTGTTAATGTAACACCATTGCAATATAAAGATGTGTCTTTTACAGGTTACACCGTACAATGGGGCGTGTTTCAGTTTTTACTATCTTTTCCGTGCGATTTTTGACGATATACCATATGTACCCTCAAATATTGCCTCAGGTGCATTGGCTGGTTTTGCAGGGAAGACACTTGTTTATCCTTTTGATCTTATCAAAAAGCGCTTACAGGTATGTTCAAATAGTAAATAGCAATTCAAATCAGTTCTTTATTCAGCTGATAAGCAACACAATGGTAGATTGTAGAATCTCTTAATCGTAAAGTTTAGTATCTAGACAGAATATAATAAAAAAATTTTAATCTGGTGTATATCCAATGTGTTTCATCAGGCTATCACCGTTCCCTTTTGCAGGTGCAAGGATTTCAAGACCACACGCACAAATTTGGGAATTACGAAGGGCTAGTAAGCTGCGCACGTTCTGTCTTTGAAACGGAAGGTCCGTTAGGCTTCTTTAAGGGCTATGTACCATCCTGTATGAAGGCAATGGCCATGTCCGCATGTCAGTTCACGTTTTATGAAACAGCAATGTTCGTGCTAGTTTTAGCCCGTCAGAAAAGGGAAAGCTCGAAACAAAAAGAGCTCACCACGAAACTGAACCTAGCAGGACCTACGGCTAGTTCGACGACCCCAATCACTAGTGATAGGTCCACCGCTGAAAAACTAGACGAAAAACAGAAATGATTCACCAAGTTCAAGCATAACTTCTATGAGCTTATCTTGGTTCAAGGGATAGAAGATACACGTGTTGTATAAAATATATGATTGACGACAATGTTAACAATGAATTTCATAATCATGGCGGACGGAAAGGTTGTTATTAGATCGTTGTATTTTATATATAGAAAAGTTAGCAACAGAGTTACTACAAAGAATAGACGAGCACTGCTACTGATTAGCTATTCATAGTCTGATTGTTGTTAAAGCCGTTTGTAGATTGTAAGAGCTCGTTACAGCCATTGCCTGCGAATGTATAGTGATAGGTGTGATACTTCATAGGAAAAGTGGCGGTAGACGTTCGATCTTAGCCTTCACTGTTTATGCTGAATGCTGACTAAATGTATTGGTAATTTCAACATACGTGGCGCAATGAAATAATGAGTATATTCTCATCTCGTCTGATATTAGTTTAATGTCACGATTTAAACAGGCTAACAATAAATGCCGAAGCGAGCTTTGCCTTTTTATGACGATAAGAGGTGCCACATAAGCCAACCACATAATTAGATAAGTGAGATATTGAAATCGTTGACATTATTATGAATTGTCTATAGATGTAACGAGTAGAGCACTGCAAAGTATACGTTAATCTCGCGATACGTGTGCGGTGGGCATAAGTTTGATAGTGATACCCTAAGTTGTCAAAGTCATATAAAAACGAATTTCGTATTATCGTTGTTTTGTTGGTAATTGTTTTGTTATATGTCCATAAACTGTCATTATGGTTATTAGCTTTAAGCGCGCAGCCAGCCAATAGCTGTATGAAAAAATGAAAATAGAAAATGGATTGAGGTGGAAAAAAAAACGAAAAAGCAGCGTTGGTGCTTATTATTGCATTGATTGCTAAAACGAGCAGTAACAAGCACGACTACTGAATTTGCTACAGGAAAGAATCGCTTTATACTTCCTAATAAGAGGCGTACCTGGATATACGTGGAGATAATTTTATGTTCGTGAACGTGCCTGTGACCCTTATACGTCAGTATTAGCCACAATATGAGAAATAGAAAAGCTATTAATATGACCGGTCTACAAGACACTGCTTATGATGAAATATACATGTCCTTTTGAAGTCAGCCTGCAGGAAACGTAAATTTATGCTGTATTAAGGACTTCCTTAATACCCTTGCGTCGGTGAAATCATATTTCCAGAGCTAATAGTTGCTCATCGTCTAGATTGAATCGCGAGACAGCAGGGCAAAATTTCGGCAATACGTTTTTAAAGAGATAATACGTTTAGACGTATGTGTGTGTACAGATATGTGTGTGTGTAGCTATAGGGTAATGTTTTGCGCAGTAAATAAACAACAACTTTGATTAAAAGAAACAAAAGAACAAAAAGGATTATATTTGAATGTGACACGGAAAGGTCTACATAAAGAATGAAAGCCACGACTTGGCGGTGCATGGAAAGCACGACGAGAAAAGCAATATTTTCACAAACAGATGACTGAATTATACTCGTTTAGATGATACACTTATTTAATTATTGTGTTTATTTTACAAAGTAAATTATATTTAGTGAGACAAAAGAAAACAGGGGAATATATATACATATATATACTGTTAATATTATAACATGAATGAAAACAGTACATGTGTTGATATTGAAATGATTTGTTTTTGTTTATAACAGGTGCATTAATTTGTGAATGAAAATAAACTATTTTTCATATATTACTATTACGAATGTTCGTTTCTGATGTCAGATATGGGCTCAGTAAGACAGAACTTTATCCTTCGGATGAATATATCATTACTAGCTTCTCCAATAAACAGATTCTCAGCCAAAAGCAATGTTTTTTGATATATATCTATGGCTTTAATACCAATGGTTTAGCCTTACGGCATATATAACTTGCAATCAAGGTGCATAGGAATCCAATTTATAATAATCAATAAAAGATATAGACTTCTTATTTTAAAATAATTAGCTTCGAAAATGCATAGCTCTATTTCAAGAACTATGCGTTTACGCCGCTACTTTCAGTGGGTAGTCTCCTATATCTAAAAAAAATAACTAAATTGGAGTGCAAGGCGGCAGGCTTTACTCCTATGTTTGAGTACTTAATGTACGTGGTTACCATAAGGAAAGGATTCGAAAGTGATAAAAATACAGCTTTCTTTAACATAGCAACACGAATTGGCAGCAAGCGGAGAAAATTCCATGAACATGATTTTACCACATTTTACCTTTGATGACCGTTTTACGTCGATTTATCATGTCGATTACGTCAGTACGCGTATAAATCAGCAAATATGGAGTATTCTATTCTGAACTTTTTAAAAAATTCAGGCTTCTACAATGTTGTTAAAAAAAACATAGTTTTCTCCATATGCAATTAGTAAACGTATATCATTTCATAAGTGCATATTTCCACAAGTGTTTTTGATCTTAGATATGCTTCGACTCTTCTCAGAAGCCTAAAAATTTTATGTTTAATTGAATCGTTGTATCTACGTCCTTAATAGGGTTACAGGACTAAATAAGTTTTCTTTGCCTATTTAAGTATTACTTAACAAGCTATCGGTGTCAACGCTAAATACCGCAAAAAAATTAGTATTCGTGTCTTTAAATTCGTCAAGAAAGGTTTAAACCTCTTTTGCTTAAAGTAAAACACCTTTTGCTAAGGCAAAAAAAGATCCCTCAAAGCTGTAAATGTTTTAAACTTACACTGCCCAATCTTAGGTTGAACGTCCATGTATAGTTTTTCTTGGTTCCCTATTAGCCAATAACATAGAAGTCTTAATGTTTTTTTTTATGAGAAAATAAATGTACTCTCTATTCAGGATTTCGTGAAAGTTTTCATACCCAGATGATGAATCCAAAATACTGAATTCAGTGGCGAAGTAGAATAATGCAATATTATTGTCATCAATAAAAATGTTCCGTGATAAAACACCGATCCCTATTTTGGCAAGTTTTCACTACCAAAAAGATGCCGTTTTTAGGTACGAAGTGCACCATATATGGGCAAAAATGTTTTCGCACTAAAACAAATAGATGTCCATTGGAGCCGAATGCGTACAATACAGAAGCAATAGTCCTGTTTACATAAAACGGAGTGTTTTACAAAAATTTGATTACTAAATAGAACGATTCAGACTCATTTCGCGTATCCAACATACAGGCTCATAGAGTACACATGCAAAATAAAGCCTATGCAAGAGATTCACTTCAATTCTGTTCTGATACACGGTATCGTCCGCATGGGACATCTTGTATAACAGGATAAAAGGCAAAGTCATTTGCTCAAAGTGTTCTACAAGATGCTTCGAGAAAAATTATTGATGTAAATCAGGATACCATTCGTACCATGTCCAAGTTCAATGTGATGATTCTCAAAACTGGAAAGTCTATTAATAGTTTATTATATCATATTTCAGGAATTCTTATTTCCAGAGGATCGATCAAAATTATGTGGTAGCACAGGAGGGTGTTACTAAAGGCTAAAGATATAATCGGCAAACATACGTTTATAGTGAATGCTGAACCTATATAACAGAGAGAAGCTTAATAGGACATCGCGTTTTCCTCGTAGCCATAGAATTTTAATTTTACATTTAAATACTGTTGAATATCGGCAATTTTTAAAAGGCACGTCGGTTCGAAATTTAGTGCAATTTGCGCTACTGAACTCGTTGACCAGATTTCAAAATGTGGAAGCGTATATTGTCGAACTTATCTTGAACATTAAGGAAACGAAATGCCCAGCCTATTTTTCTATCAAGGTATATCCAAAGTTTTATTTTTAAAGGCAAATGTTATAAATCGTTGCATAGAATTATATTGTATAAACTTCATATTGACAGACGAATCTTTGATCTGTCTAAATTGGAAATTAATGAATACAAAGTATCGTCTTTTCTAGCCAGCATCATAATCCTTTTATAGAGAAAAAAATTCCACCTTTAACCTTGTTAGCTAATTTCATTGTACGAAATCATTAGCAGTTTTTTGTAGTCCTACCCCTCATCACCCTATTTAATGAAGACCATACTGAATATTTTTTCAAAAAAAAACTAGTGAGCTTATGCAAACTATATATGAAAATTTTATTTTAAAACGAAATATTAATGAAAATATTCTTTACTATCTTATTAAATTTACGTAATTTACAGACATCTTAATCTATTACAAGACTTCTGTGGATTGGTCCGTATTTCCCTCGATAATTGTGAATATATCGCAGCGTTTAGTGTGACGGGCAACGTTACAGTCAGTTGAAAGGACATATTTACTCGAAGGCGCTTCCTAAACAGTTTGCTCTTAAAATAGTCATGTGCATTTATTTTTATTTAATGTATAGGAATGGCCAAGAAGGGCGTTAAGTTAATGCGAAAAAAATATCAAGAATATCAAAAAACAAAAAAATATCGTCAGGCAATTAGTCAGACGCAAGCTTTTCTTTCTTTCAATGAGATTATTTGCACGGTCCAGGATAGGCTGCTGCAGCACACGTGACAGGAATGTTGTCTCTTGAGATAGGTTACCAGCTTTGCGTACAGGCCTATTTTCGTCCTCCCTCCTCTCATTTTATTTCTCTCCAAAAAAAAAAGTGCATTACGCATCGTTACGGCTCCAACCGATGAATCCAAATGCTTACTTTGTCTTGTTGCAACTAGCCGCTCATAATATATTTGTTTGTGTGTTCAATACAATATAAGATCAATATTATCAATATTAAACAAGTGTTAGGATCAAAGTAACTTTCACAGACAAGTGAATCACAAGAACAGATCACAATACATACGCGTGAAAAATATGCAGATGACTTTTATTAGAATTTTAGAGGTAATTTTGTTTATCGTGTTAGTTGCAGCTTGAACAGATAATATATATTTGCTATCTAGTTCGCCGTCATACACAGGATGCAGTCCGATCCTATGCAATGTGTACAAAGATGCTGCTTAATTCCTCGCTAACCAATGCATTGTTTGGAAAGATGAAGCAAATTGCTCTGCGTATTCAGCTTCATATAGAAGATCCCATTATAGTCGGTTAACTAAGAAAAAATAGTTGTGCCAAGTTTTTACTGCTTTAACGAACTTGTATTGAATACTCGAAGAAGCAGGAAAGGATTCTTAAGAGGAAAATAGAGCTGTTGTGTAAAAGGAACTATGAATTTAATCAAGTTGACGATTATGAGTTTTAGCCTAAGAATTCACGATGTAGCTCAATTTAATTTATGTACTTCTGTTGTCATAACTTAACCACATAATTACATAATAACCACAAATACGATGGTACGAAAACAAGGTACCGGTGTACGATGAGGAATAGAAAAAAGCTTATATTTGGCAACTAAATAACTTAGAAGTTATTTAGTTGCCAATTATTTATATATAGTTTTTGCCAAATATTTATATATAGTTATATAGTTGCTAATTGCTGGCTAATTGCCACTGCAATTAGCCAGCCTTTTCTAGCTGAATACAGCGAGTAGAAGACGTTAGTTAAAATCCTACATGTGTGATCCAGGCCAAGTAACAGCTTTTCTTATAACGATACTTATTACGTAAAGCTAAGCACACAATAAGACCTAAGAGGGCAGAAGGATTTAATCTTTTGTCGTCCCTTTTAATGTAGCAAAGTTCGCTCTTTTCAATAAAACCGGATGAAGAGAGGCCGTAATAAATGATAATTTTCAACAAAGGTCACCTTTTCTTTGGACGTACAATATGCCCACTGCGTCCGGCGGCACGACGAGCCTAAGTCAAACATAAACAACAAGAATACACAAGCATCTGAAACTTCCCACACCCTGTAAATCAACAATAATAGCATAAAGGTGTACATTTTATCCATTCTAATTACATTCTTATTTGCTAAATACTTTGCAGTAGATCTACGAGTAAACCTTGTTTTGAAACCGCTTCTTCTAGGTGCTGCGTTACTGGCGTGGTTACGTTTGTTTTGAATACGAGTTTATTCCTGCAGCAAAATTATAAGAACGCTTGTCCAATCCACACTTTATGCCTAAATTTAGCTTAAGGTCTGCGCGCTTCAGTGCTTGGCTTAACAGCTAACATCCATTTTTGATAGTTCATTCAGCTTGAGCGATGACCACAGGGTGACCTTCATCAAGGCCATACACTTCATACTGGGAAATGATACCTATACTGTTCTGAAGAAAACGTACCGTCGGTGTCTCGAGATGCTACAAAGATACGAATCGCATCCTTCTTATTGATCTGATGAAGTTCCCCCAAGGTTACCAAAACGTAATAATTTTGTGGCTTTGGTTAATCTGGATTTGACTTAACCATTTTAGAGCTAAATTATTTGCCTAATATACTATACCATAAAATGTTGTTATAAAATATTGACAAGTATTTCCCTGTAAATATATCTATGTGGGTTGGAACTTGTAATACCTTAGCGTAATGAACATTTCATTTGACATACGTAACTAAGTGATACTAAGGACAAAATCAGTGTGTAAGGCTTATCGATATCCAACGCAATCATAAATTTCGCTCTTTGATCTAAAAGTAGGATACCATATATTTTTTAATTATATTTTCTCATTTTAGAATACTGGGCTTTCTTTGAAGGGCCGGTTTGTTCTTATTGCTAACGCTAATGTTGAATAAAATGAATTCTATTGACTTACTAGTTTATATTAATAATTAATATACGAGCCACTTATATAGGGGGACAGTGAGTTTCGATTAGGCATTAGTAGTTTGTTATTGTTACCGCTATTAGCACAGACACTGCACGTGGGACGGCACATATAGAAATACTCGGTACAATTGAATACTTTGTGTGGGAATATATGAGCGCTATTACGATATGATAATGGCTTATATGCAAAATATTCGTATTTCGATTATTGGCATAGTGCCGTATATTACCCCTGACTATTTGAGTCTTGCCAATTATTATGAAACTGCTATTTGAGTATCGGAAAGAAATCCAAACAAGAGCTTGGCTCATTTTTTTCAGAGTTTGAAGTTTTAAAGTCTGCTATTTGAAACCGACAAGTCCTGTATATGCCATACAGCATTTGTTAACGAACTTCCTTACATCGATACGCTCATCGCAGCTGCCTGTTTCTCCAGTTGCTAAGTAAGCATGACATAGTTCCTCAGCAACATAAGTACAGTAGAGAACTGCTTTGGTATCCATAGGGTGCTAGAGCAAATGTAGATATCCGGAAAAGATTATTTGCAATTGCAAGCTGAATTTATAATGAACAATCGTCTTGCGAATTTGATCGATTCGTATAATCGCTTATCGTTGTGCAAGCCGATCATCGATTTACTTTTCATAGTAAGAGCTCACTGCTGAGCCTCGAATATGAAGAGGTCACGATGGTGAGACTCAGCAATGCCGTTCTTTCACTCGATGTAGCCGCGGCAAGAAAAACAGCTGAGTAGAATTCTCGTGATGTCGCACGTGTTACACAATCTGATCACTCGGTGACGTGGTGATCGTCGACGTTGGACGATCCACAAGTGCTCGCATCTAGTAGATAGCAAAGTGGGCTTTGTTACAGCGCGCGTAAATAGCCCACCCCGATATCTGAATTAGTCTGAAGTGGTTCCAGACACTTGCAGAAGTAATCATCGTAAAGCCGGAAGGGTAAACCTCTGACAAAGCCGCACATTCTCTAAGAAACTTCACATAACTAGATACATCAAGCTTCGAGTGCACTGTCTGTAATTAACGCTTTTTCATGAGTCGGTCATTAGCTAGCATGCTAATACTAATATTTGATGATATGCTGAGCAATGAACAGAGCTCTGCACACAATTTACCGTGAGTGAAATTTATTGTTTACGATATAAGTTACTTGACAGTAGGTGCAGGTTCGTAGAGCCTTATAACATAAGACAAATAGGAGTGGTATAACAAAAACAACTATTATATGTAGCTTATTCGCTAGCCAGCTAGCTATTGTCAGCCGAATAATCGTAAGCAAAAAAAAATTATCGTTCGCGATGTGGAATAATTTCATAAAAGTCATGGCTATTATATGATCCCGTGATGTATCTAAGTGATAATGCCACTACCGATCGTGACTGTTTATCTAGTAACCAAGAGCGGTAAGATAAGAAGCGTTGGATAATAAATATGCCGTGTTTGCTTTATTTAGATCAGATAACGTACACGGCATCCGTTTTAGCAGAAAGTCGAATCGACCTATTGATAGAAACCCCGTTGTCAATAAGGTTCAACATAAAATACGTATTTTATTAGACGAATTGAGGTTACATACGTAAATATGAGTACACCTTTGAAATGTAGTTGCTTAAATAATTGATTAGATGAAATGTAAATTGTTTTGTTGTAGGCAACACCCGTTATAGAGGCACTGGAGTTTTATCGGCTGTGTTTAGGTGGTTTCAGCTTTGGGTCTCACTTCATTACTTGAATGAAATGCTTGTTTAAGCTTTCACCCATAAACAGGATATACCTTAGGTCCTTAATAAAAGGAAGTTTCGTACTGTTTGTGTAGCAGTTCATCATGGTAGCAAGGTAGTCAGTGAGTAAAGAGCCAGGGATTGAGAGTACCGTTTGGCCTTTGTGATGCTTCATCGTAGGGTAGACTCCATTGATTATTTTTATAAGGTCAATCGCATGCTGGTAGAAGGTTTCTCGCGTGACGTTCTTGTATAGTATGTTTCGTTCGTCACCCAATATTCCGAAAATTATCTGAGAAAAAAAAAGACAGAAGACAGCGATATTTTGTAGGTTGCATTCCTGCACGCCGCTAAGCTGTGATTTAGAAAAGCAGAACGATGGATTGGGAACTGAACTGTTAATAACATGCAGTAAAAGAAGCGGTCTTCGTCAAATAAATGCTAAATTTATTACCGCAGATGCGGCGCTTATCTGTTTGGTATCTGAGTCTGAAGATTTTCAGTAAACTGAAGCCTCTCGCCGACATTTTATAGTATAATAACAACGGAATATAGCGGGGAGGAGCAGGGGCTAAGTAGTATAGCAAAGCAAATTATCTCATCTAATGAAATAGTCAACATTCATAATCGTTTCGAGGACTCGTTACGATTTACAGAGATGCTTAATTATCTTATCGCAATATTGTCAACTATTTGAGAGTTCGCTTTGTGAAGAGTAGTATTATTAGTTATTTTGTGATCGCTTCGGCATAACGTATGAATGGCGCTTATGCCGGATTCGAATCTGTAGTATGTTTTACCTGTTGTCCGAAGCAAAACAGTTTCGTAATTAACGGCGCGACGTCAATATATGTAAGACCGCAATCTTCGAAGGACGTACCTAGAAACTGCAGGACATAGGGAGCGCACTTTGTTGCTATTTTAAGCGTGTTCATTGTAGCTTTCTGACGCTCGCGAAGGTTTAAATCGCTCATGCCTTTGCATGGTTGAAATTTCTTCGAAGAAAACTCTTCGGCAAAGGCCGGCAAAGCTACTGAGCCTACAAATATCACCTCGACGATTCGTAGAGCTGAACGGAAAAACATCGCTGCGTTGAGAATATTGATTGAAGTTCTTTCGTCTAGTTGAAGGCTGATATAAGAGATTAGTTGATGGCTATTGACTTTAGATTAGAATGATCATTAACAAAACAGCTCCAGTAAACTTTGGGCGAAACTGAGAAAGAACAAAAATAATAGGTAGAGTTAATCATTGAGTACAACTTTGCAGATTTGTTGTCGTCTGATGTCACATATACACGGCACATATCAGTTCTAGTGCGGATGAGTTATGACTGCTCTGTTAGAATAGTCCGCTTAGTTCTACGGCTTGAGCGGTTAGAAAGGAAAGAAAAAAGTTTGTTAAGAAGTAAGCAGTGAAATTAGCTAAGGAGATGGGCCAGGCGCTCCTAAAAGCTGTGCTTCCATAGGACTAGGCCTTAGTATCGACACACCTGGCTGCTAGGCAATAACAAATATTGCACAGTTAGTGAAGCTGACCATACGGGTGTCCACGTGATAGTTATAAAGTTAGTCACCGCTTGCACTAATTGCCTAGCTCCAACTGTCGGTAAAAACTTAAGGCATATATCCAATTAGGAGTTATAGGCCATCCAATTTGAGTTAAATGTGACTGGGTCTTAATCATCAATTTTATCGGAAGTCGATTTTTTTTACATAGCTTACGCAAAACAATCTGTCTGTTGCTTCGTGCGCCAGTGTATCATCATTACTGCAGACGAAGCTTTTCCTTTGCTATTATTAATCGGTAAGCTAACTAAAAGCCACGCATCCAATCCCTAGTAAGTGCTCACATAATTTCTCTGCGTCAGGTAACTTATATAACCGAATATCATCAACTGTAATACAACAGCGACAGTAAACATAGTTTGCCAGAGTACTAATTAGAATAAACCTTTTGCCTTCAGGTTATCTAGGATGTCTAGTCAATCGATGCAAGCAGGTCACCGGTTATTTATTGCCTTATACAACTGCGTATGTCTAAGCGGTAGATCTGCGATAGAAGTCAGCCAGGGAGCAGACATGGGACAACGAACAATGTCAATTAAACTCAATAAAATAAAACACTCAATAAATGATAAACCACGGCGGAAGCAAACACTTAGCAACGCGCGTACAACATAATTTTTTCTGTTTCGGTAAAGCATGCAGACGCTTGAGTACATGTGTACATTGGTGCAGTCAACGAAAACGCTGATCAGAACAAACATACAATTTTATTCATGTCGTGAGATTTAATTTATCCAAGTTTTGACACTAAAATCAGATATCTATTGAGTCGCTATGTGTGATAAAGAGCAGCGTGATTGGCTAGAAAGTACAAGGGTTCAATTGCGCGCATACATGGTCTCTACATGATTTAAGTTTTTTCAGTTAAATAGTGAAGTCTGCAGCTATATGTGTCAATACATACATGAAAAAAATACGTTACGATAAATTCACATAGGAAGCCGAATACCTCCTTCTGTCTAAATGTATCTATCGACAGATATATGCGCATCCAGTTAAAAAGCATAGATAAATATACGCCTGGATAGACGCGACGAAAGGGTACGTCGAACACGAAATGTTACAAAATGAGTTATTAGGTTGTTAGTGGACGCTAGGTTTAACGTGGAGACGCAGTGGCCCATGGCGGCAGTTCGCCTCGTGCCATCTGTACCACTGAAGTCAGAAGTTTCTTCAGCCGGCTTCTTTGCACAGCCAGTTTCAATAACAATCAGCCAAGTCTGAAACAGCCCGAAACGCTAGAACACTTGGCGAAACTGAATCGGTAAGAGTTTTGTTTCGGGAATGGCTTGTTGCGTTATTATATATCACAAGAAAATTAGAGAAAGCATGTTGTCATCGAATACCAAAAGTTTCACCGTGCCTTCGAACATGCGTGTTGCCTTAGGCGACATGTCGATGCGGACCGCGCTAGCGGATTCGTCTGAACGTCACTACAGTTATTCAGATGAATTTGTTTTTGCGTACCACGAATAAGTTATACCACTTTTAAATGCAGGTTAGGCTTATAATCTTCGAGCGTACCTTCGAAAGAGAAGTAACTTCTTGTATTTAATCAAAATCTGCCTAAACGAGCGTCATACTCGTAGCTGGCCTGAGTTCAATGAGCTTTTCTATCCAAAAAGAACATGCGCAGACAAAGGTTCACCTTGAGCTTTAGTGCGTATAGGTTCTACCCAGCTAACTATAATATGGGCAATTCAATGCCGTACTGTACTTTTCTAGCATTTACTTTAGTTAATATGGCAAAGATAAATCCAATGCAAAACAAAATCGTCTCTGAGCTGGGTGACAAATATATTTTTCACTCTAACCTTTGGAAGCGATCTTTTCTTGCGTTGCCGAAAGAAAAGGACGAGAATAAGCAGTCAGTACATTAGGTCACTAAAGAGGAATAGTTTCGCTTTTAAAAAAGGTTTACTCGAAGGCTTGGGATTATAAGAAGCCAAGAGGCGAGGATGAACCATTATAGTCCCGCAAGGTTGATGAGACGATTTATTTTCCGGATTTCGCTAGATACTACTATTCTATTCCTGTCGCAGTGGTACATGTGTGCCCTATTTATCTCGATTCTAATTTTGGAAGTGGAAAGTTGTATGTTGCTGCTTCGGTTAAACACTGCCCGGCTAGATAGAATAACGCTATTTTGCCGTTTCGTAAGCTGCCGTGCCAAAGCCGACTGATTTTCAGACTACGATAAACGTTCACCGTTGCTATTGAGCGAACCTCTCTGAATCGGCCTCACGATGTATTGTAGCGTAGCGTATAAACGCGGAATCAACTTTGCCAGGGTGGAGAGGGCCTCCCACAGTGTCAATCATTCGCTGCGTCGTCCACGCGTTCGTCGTCACCAGTTTCGTTTGTCTCTTCCGCAGCCGCTGTTGTTGTAATATCGTATCTCCTTGTCCTTTCATTGATTTTTGCGCTCGTTCTTTTCATCAGACAGCAACTGAAGCAGCGGCGGCGGCGGCGGCGGCGGCGACGGCGGCGTTGTCACTAACGTTAAGCCGGTGCCACAAACAACTACTACAGTACATACAACTATTAATCATATCTTTATTGTAGAGTTGGTGTTACTAAATAAAAGTTTTGTGTTTAGTACGGGCGTTGCTTCAGACCGCTCTGTCGACAGAAGAATTGCTAGCACTAGCATCAGCAGTAGCGTCCTACAACTGTAAACCTCTTTATCGACTTTGTTTCATTGTACGCCAGTTGGGATGTAATCGATAACAACATACGACGGAGATACTTGCGCGCGCAGCCGGCAAGTCACCAGACGCTTTTGGTGGTGTTATCGGGTTTGTGTACATCAAGCTGAAACAACGCCGGGCCCGATCGCAACCACGGTCGAGCGTTCGCTGTATCTGTTCAAGATTGTACAGCTGTAAATAGCCAACTTACGGGGTCGTTCTTATAATGCAGTTTCGTTCTTCGCTCATTTGGTCCGGATTGTTTATATTATTGTTATCGTTATTGACGCTGTGGCGTCGCCGCGCCGAGTTCATCCCTCTGCACCGTGTGTAGTTGTGCATTTCGTCGCACCAGCTACCGAGCGTGAGGCGCAGCAGCAGCCGCAGCAGCAGCAGAGGAAAAGGACGGTGCGAAAAGAGAGAGAGAGAGAGAGGTTATCATGTTTTCTGTTTTTCGCTCCAACTGCTCGCCAACTTTCTCGCTCTCCCTCCCTCTTCCTCTCTCTCTCTCGCTTGCTCTCCTTGCTCTTTCCAAGGCGAAGACACACGAGCCCACTAAATCGACGGCTGCTATAGTAGCTGTGGGGAACCATTTTTGGGAGTATACAACGACCAGCAGCGGGTGATCGTCCAGCTGTCGGACAGTGTATTTCGACGTTCTTCAACCCGTGTCGCTTATGGGTAGCCTACTTCTTAATGGTAGTTCATCGAAGGACACTGTTTCGAGCGCTCGTACAAGCTGGGCAAGCAAAGTAAGCTTGAAGTTTTGTTCTTATGCTGGAAACGGTCGATTTAATACCCTTCGCTTGTGCGCGTTTTGTAACCGAGTGAGCCGGTTAGTAATCCGCCTAAGATAACTGCAAGAGAGCGTTTTATCTTCGAAAAACGTGAGTTAAACAGATTTTTATCTATAAAACAATTATTGTCAACTGGTCTACCGAGTATCAAAGTGTTCCGTCACTAAACTTAAAGTAAGTTTGATCTAGCTACGAATTCTGTTGATTCCAGTTTTCGTTGGTATTTGAGGACATCGTTGTGCTGAAGTACCAACCGAAGACCACAGCACCTAGAGCAAGACAACCGATACCATAGTAGCGTGTGCAACACGTATCTTAGTAAACAGATGTGTCGGGAGCTTGGAGACTCAGAACGGCACTTAGCCTTCATGTGTTGAGGTCACACGAAATTCGCCCCTAGACTAGAAATTGTTATTTTGTGTACAAAATTACGTCAAGACAGACATGTACGTATTGCGATTATAATCTAAATGACCAACATTGCTCTGTTCGAGTAATTCGAAAAGTGCTCAGCGATAATTTATAGTTGACAGCGATACTTCGGGTCAGATTTAAGCAATGGTAAAGTCTTTCGAGTTATCAGTGAAGAAAACACTTGTTGCTCGTTTGTCTTCACACGTTTATTGTAGCTCTATAATGTCAGAAACTAACCATTTAGCCTATATAAACACGGCTTTTCCCTATATATTCTTAGGTAACAACAGCTGGTATCACAAACCGGAAGATTCGATGTTCAAAACGCGGAACTATTGAATAAAGTCATTTACACAACAATCGTAATTTTGTCACTACAATTCACTGCTACTGCTGTGCCCCTTGTTAGCTAATTCCAGACACATGGGGCGTATTATATTGGTCGTACAGGTGATAACAATCAGTAGATATCAACATTACAAAAGAAGCGTAATTTCCATAACAACATTAGCGGATCATCAACAAATACGTAGCACATTTTCACATATCAATATCGATTTATCTCAATATATTGTTTAAGGCGTGTCGAATCGCGCAGTTGAAGTACCTGCAGCAGCAGCAGCCGTAGCGATTGTCCGGCTTGTCAACCTGCGTTATTTTCATTCTTCGATTTCATCCGCATCTGTTACGGCGGCAGATTTCTCTGTTAGCAGTTCAGCCTCTTGCCATCATCGTCCGGTCTATCAGTATAACAGTTTTAGCTCTTCGAGTGTTCTTTGTCAAATGAATTGTTTGGCGTGGGTGGCCTTCACGACTGAGGTGTTTTCCTCAACGATTATCCGCGTGACCTATAGCGCCTTCAAACGCACGATGGTAGCCGCAATTGTTTTCTGCCAGTTATAATGGATTCTGCTCTTCGCACAGAAATCTTATATGTCATTTAAAGTTCGGAAAAGTATTATCTACATCAAAAAGATGTATTTTTAAAAAATTTGTATCCGTAATGAATCTGCTTTTACCAGACGGCCTGTAAATGTTTGCAATTTGCTACATTTTCTGTTGCTCATGAGCAGCCGACGCACTGGGCCCCAAATTAAACTCCAAATAAGCAAGATAATTACGAAGTCTTCCGTATTATTAGATTGAAAAGCTGTACCATTAGCTAGAGGTGACCTAGTTTTGAAGTATCGCCTTATGTAGTTCTCATTCATTGAATTCAGTAGATAATTTGAATCTGGTGAATACCATACATTTGTTTTTCATACCATGTACATTGGATAACTAACTGGCTTTACAAAACTTGACGAAAACAGTCCAGCTCAGATGAAGCATTCAAGGTAGCGAATTCCGCTAAACGACAAATTTTTATATCTTCAATGAGCTCATTTTAACCTTCTCAGCCACCGAGGGGTTTTAAATATTTATCTGGTTCTATTTATTGACGCACTTGCAGGTTAAACGTACCAAATCTAACGTCAGTTTTTTAGTTCGTGGTTAAATTATATCCTATTAATAATATTATTCATTCCTATTATCTCTAGTTATAATACCCTATTAATAATAAAAAAAGAAAAAGTAATATTACCTGTGACTCTCAAATTGCATCAGTGAGTAGCAGATTTAATCAAAATCGATTATAGAGCACAATTATCTTGGGTATTTACTTAGCTATAATATGACTTCGCATTTTGTGTATACAATCCTCTAGTATGGCTCATGTGTAGTTGGGTATATAATACGGTTGTTCAATAGCTCCATTCAAAACGATTATGTTATCCTAATAGTTGAAAAAAGACACCCAAGGCTCCTAATCGGATGAGGAATGGTTCGGCCGTTTGATACGAACGAGTTTTCAAGCATATTTTGATTAACAGAACGCAAATTTGGTGTCCCATGTGAATCGAGCATCATAGAGGCACCACCTCGTTATTCGCTAAATACATAGGCGTATCTAGATACGTTGCTCGCGTATCTATTAAATGCGTCCCTTTTTTGTGGAACTGCTATTTTTACACGTTTTTAAGTTCGCCTTCTTACCGATTTATTATTGCTGTCGGATGCCAAACGGAAACAATGTGAACACGGTCACGAACGATTTGTACTTTAAAATCTGTTTATGTATAGAACTGTGTCAGCACCGATTCTTCGTTAGTACTTTCTTCATTGTGTGTTAACCAGTGGTAAAATGACCTTGGATAGAAGTCGTATTCTATCAATCACAACGATGAGTAATCGCGTCGCGTTAGCTTTGCGTCTACAGGCATCGGGCTCTGCTTTGCACGCAGTTGCCTAATGCAAGGCACTGAAAAGATATTGACCGTACATCAGACTAACAATAGGGCGTGAGCTCGAGGGTTAGTGGTTACACGTACGCCTCATCCTAGGCTAAAATTTGAATTTGGATTCGACACTTTCTCCACCTACGGGTTCCCTTCATGCTGAGCGCCAGTAACTAGTCGGAGTTGGAGGCTTCTGACGTTTAACGATAAGAACGCGCATATAGTGCTTACATAAACGCAGATGTTATGTTCTTCACGCAGAACACGTTACTTAAACAGGACATTGTCAGCTAAAAGCAAGTAGGTGTGGTACCAGCTAGATAGAAGAACAAGAAATCGACAACGTGGTACATCAGACAAGAACACTTTTCGAAATTAGCGAGCACCTACATGTGCCAGGAACGTTCCTGATGTAGGCAGTTCCGTACGGCACTCTTGTTTGTTGTTTATTAGCGATGACGCTGCCAAATCGGTCGATGATAATGATCAGCGAAAATGCAGAAGAACATTTAATATTGTCAATGGCATCGAAAATAGGAAATATGTACTCTAGAAGTACATATAACATTCGGTCTACGGTAAAAACCGCGTACGCAGTTGTGGTCAGACGACCTGGCGCCAACCGTTGCATCTGTTCGAACAATCAGATATGGTTCAGTAACGGGTTTTCAGAGCTACGCGGGAGTCTGAAGGGTCAATGTTTACAAAGTACTCAGACAGCCACTCTGGGCGATTATTCGAGTGAACAGCGACTATGTATATTCTCTCATCCATATATCTGTTCCATATTCTTGTAGGCGGCAGCTGCCCGCAAAACCCGACCGACTACTTCATGGAATCAGTAATGCATACAGATTGTTCATTTATCAAAAGTAGGACTATAAAATTAAAGCTATACAAACTAGAACCTATTCGATGTGGCGCCGCTACATACGCAGCGGTGACACCTTTATCACGTGTCAACACAGAGATATATATGAAAAGCTAATATGAGTCTGTACGGTTTGATTTTAACTCGTTTTTGCCTTTCGTATAGGCTAGGCGAGACGAATTTCCTTATACGTATCAGTTTAGCGTTCTAACATTCAATAACACCATTGATAATAACAATCATTCAGTAGTAGTGGTAAAGTGACTCTGTGCCATAAGAAACATGATGCACTAGAACGATTTGAGGAGACATCACTCGTATACATTTTTAAAGGGCTCATATTGGTTTAGGAAAAAAGCAGACTGATCATATTGACTGACACGGTCTCTTCCTGGAAAGGCGGCTAGCTTTAAGAAAGGGAGAAAGGTTTCGTGTACGTGTACGTACGTCTAGCTATCTAAGCAGATGCAATTGACGGTATTGTTGTATCATCTAAAAACATTAAATTTGGACTTACTAAGAGCAAGCTCAAACCGTATTGACCGTATCAAAAGGTATCAATGTTCTACAGGTTAGACGACTGTATTAAGCTCGATTAAGACAACAACTTGCGCATTAAGTAACGTTTTAGTGCACACAAATACAAGCTTCACATACGTGCAGTCCAAGTTTTTATAGGTTTATACCAGGCATACAAAGAAATTAATTGTGATCCAAGATATTTTTTGAACATACGATGGTTATCGTTTGTATCATCGGACTAAAAATGATATGCCAAAGTAATCTATAAGAGCGCATTGATTGTAAGTGAGGTTCTCGAGCTGATGTGCCATATTATTATTTCCATAGATGATTTCCGTTCTACTAACGTAAACATGTTGAACTGGACTTCATTCATCATGAACTTCACGCATATACACAGACATTGTAAAGACTAATCCGTTCGAGCGAGTGAAAGATGGTTTGTCTCTTTTTCTTTGCATCGTAGAACATTGTTACACGACTATTGCAAAACATATTTACGTCACACTACTCTGATAGAATGGATGTACACGAAACGAAAAGCAATTCAGCCTTATTTAGCATTGTTTTTCCTCATTTCATTGCTCTCTCTTGCTTTGCTTTTGTTTCTGGATTCCGTTTTTAATCGAAGCGTCTTAGAAAAAAAATTGTTCATTATGTAGTAAGTAGTCATTTGACTATGTTCAGGAAGTCCCATCGCGACCTATAGGTGGCCGCCATTGCAATCAGTAACGTCTAGAGCATAAGATAACGGTCTGCCGTTGGATGTGTGCACACTGTTCTAGGATAGCAGGACAAGAGCTGTCCAATTCATTTCGAAACGATATACCGTACGGTCGTTCGTTCGTTGAATTCTCCTGTCACTTGGCTTTGTTATAATTCGTGAATCGATTGTCGTCTAAAGCAAGAGCCGATTAATTGACTGCAGAAGTCTGGAGCAGTGCATCTTGGCTCCCTATTATTATTTCCTACACACTAGAGAAATTTGGTGGGTACACGATTAGAGTACATTGCTATAACAAACACAGATCTCACGTCATCGTAGGGCATATCGCAGATCTGGCCTGTTAATAACAGAATCAGATACACTATAGCCTGTTATATGTTACCTTTAAATGTGGAAATGAAGGGCAGATGTCGAAAAACCGTGGTGCCGCTATATCCTACATGCGATGTTTTGCCTATTCGGCCTAACTCAAAGGAAACCGTTGACTTTTGGGCGTCCAAGACACATCACCAACTGAATATCATAGTAAGCTAATTAATGTTCGCTATGCTTAGCGAACACAATGATGCAACTAAATCTAAATACGTAAACACCTCGTTGATGCGGGATGTAGAACCAGCCATTTTGCTGCCATAACGTGATGCAATGGTGATCAGCCGTCGCTAACGGCTTGTGTGGCTGAAAGTGTTTGAAGTAGCCGCCAAAACAATCGTTTGATTGCTGGTATGCTCCGAGCATTACGCTATGCTAGCCAGGTCTAGCGACCTTATATCGTAGAATGCGAGAAACGCCAGGAAGGACGGGATTCTGCCGGAGTGACACTACATTTAGTATTATAGTACCATTAGTACAATAATAGTGCTGCGGCCGAATCGACGCTGTACGATCGTAAAGAAGGTCAGCGGAAATGACTAAGGAGTGGGGCAAATGTTTTTTTCTCGCTTGCTAGGGGGATAGTTAGATTGCCATAAATGCTAACTTCGATACAACTAGAAAAGTCGCGACAGGTACGCTGCTGCGATTAAGCGCAATGGCGCCTGCACTTATACTACCGCAAACGAAGCTGATTCGGGCCGTAAAGCAGGGGCAATGTGGGGAATGAATAATTGCGAAATGCAATAGTTTGACGGCACAAACGACACTATATAGTTATAAAGGACCGCACGGACGCTTGCTTTGTGGTCATTAGCTAGTTAACAATAGCAAGACTGGCAGGGAACGTGATCAGACCGGACGTAAACGAAAAGATAAACAGCGAGCCATCGGCAGGGGAGAGGCCGCAAGCAGTCGAAAAATTTGAAGTAACCAATACCACAGCTGTTGCTAGTTGACCACAACGTTAGCTACGAGCCAACACCTCTTTACGACAATTCCTCTCCAATGGATAAAATATCGCTTATATCGATCGGACACGAGCAATGGACTAACTGGCCCATAGGGTGCAAAATCCCTTCCTTTTTACGAGAGCAGGACGTAGAGCAGATCGGCTAATTTGCTTTGCCTGGTTTGTCTACCGGAAATACTGGAGATGAAAAAGAATATTGTCATATATCTCTGTGGCCAGCAGCCAATTGGCTGCCGGCCATTATGGAGTATTGCCGAATCACCTATCGATTCAAGCTTGGGTGAAGATTTACAAAATACTTGTTAACAGCTTCCAACAAGCAGAGCAAGTAGTGGATGTAAGTCACTTAGTAAACCATAGGACAGGAAAATAGTCTATCTGTATCTCTAAGCACATGTGCAGGACCAGGTTAGGTTTGTGTCAAACGTAAATTTGACAGCTTTCAATCATGTAGCACTTACTTAAGGGATCTGGTGAAACTGAGCGAGCTGGTTTCAAGTTCTGCCAAGTGCGACCGCTGGCGGTAAATTAGTCGAGTGTCTAAAGGCCTATAAATACAAATAGCCTGTTTCTAACAATAGGCGATAGACATACACCAGACTCGCGCCTTCTTTAAGATCTATATTCTCTTAGCAACACAATTACCAGTTTGATTTTTTATGGCTCTGTATCTACACGTAATGCAATATATAATCCATAGCGCGTAGCTCACGCTAGTAGCAATAAAATTATGAGTCTTAAAAGCGTATTTGGACATGTTGGAGGGCTATCTGCTGATCTATGTGGGCTAGCTTGTTATGTAGCAACACAATTTAATTAAAGAAGACATCGTCGTATAGAATGCCCTATTATTTAACGTAGCAGTAAACTCGGTTCTAGCAAAAGTCGATTTCTCTCAATAGCTATTGTGTAATGGAACCTGTGTGATCTGTGTAAACGGTGATGTGGTACAAGCCATATAACGAGTGACCTTATATAAATACATCAGAAGCTCTAGTATGCGTGATTTATTTCTGCAACACACGCAACGCACATGTGCGATGAAAGGCGTTGTTATATATGAAAAAGCCGAGGAGCTTTGGTGCACTTTTGAAACCTGTACAATATTGGCAGGCATTCTGAAACGACACAGCAGAACTATGCCCCTTTTCAAATGATCGAGGTTTTGTCGACCAAAATTACTGAAATCAACGGCGGCCGACGTCAGTGTACGCGTTGAACGTGGAGCTAGCTGTTGCTTAACGGGTCAATGGTTACTATGAATGTAGCATTAGACGAAATGAACGTGAACTTATGTTCGAACAATCATGATAACTTTAAATACAAAGGCGTCGGATTGAATTAAGTTTTTATAAATGAGGCAGCTTCACGACAGTGATTCGAAGTAATTTGGAAAAATTCTACATACGAATGCTGTACTCAGTTAGATTCATTATTCTCTTGGGTTGTCTGGCCCACATTGAGTTTGCTGGCAAAACCGTCGAGTGTCGATTCGTGCTATCATTCTAGGCTACCGTGCCTGGATTATATGCATACCCATAAAGGGCAAAAATGATTGCAACGCAGCTTCTTATGTTGAAAGGAAGCTTGAGACATCGGCATTAAGGTATATCGACCGCGGCTAGTACTATTGCTTTGGCAATTACTGAGGAACATTTTTCTCGCATGGAGGACGAAAATTGTTCACTACGTATCTTGGCGTCTATTCGTCGTACAAGCAAATCAATACGCCAATATCACTGGAACTAGGGCGACTTTGCCCACGCTATGTTACGACATGCATTACTTGACTACGGTCATTTTATTATTATTATTATTTTACCACGCATGATTATTTTAAGAATTTCGAGTCAACGCGTTTACTCATGTCAAGTATGCTAATTTGGCATGTACAAACAGAACCGGGTTATTGGCCGTACCGAAAAGGTTCGTTATTTTAAACGATAGTTCGCGTCCGTTAGCCTTATGACCATGATAACAGTGGTCTGGGAACCGCAGACTCGCCGGCCTTAAAAACTCTGATAATGAGAGCTGCAGAGAGGACAGTTAGGCAGTCCTGTTCGCTCTGGTGGGCCAGTTACAAGGAGGCCGTTTGGTCCCATATGATCACGATTCCAGCTAGTTGGTTCTGCTCAGCTACTCAACGAATCGACGACAAAAATCTCAGCCATATCTCTCATATGCAAACGTCTTTCTATTAAGTGCTCTATCATACTGGCTTGTTTCCATTAATCCTTACGCCGACCGGCATTTACGCTAGAATTACATGCAGCAGTGTTTCAGATATAGAAAAAGATATAGATATATCTTCTAGGATATATATATATATCCTAGAAGAAGACTTATTTAGGCAAAATACGGCGAATTTTCTTGGCAGACTTAAAACACACTTCATTAAATATTGATAGAGGTTTTTCCGGCAGTAGCTTACGTCGTAACGTTCTACGGGTAATTTATCTTAATTTTTGTCTCTGGACGAGTATACGTAACAGCCCGTCGACACCTGATTTTTATATGGATGTCTGTATAGAATTCATGATTCGGGAATTGTAAAGTTTTTTAGCCTTACTTTTCCTCTTTTTTTGCTTCCTGAACGAAAGGGCTACTGTTTACTTTCACAAACTCAATTTACTAACGCTACTAGCGCCTGTGTTAATGCGATTTATTGGGAAGGTTGTCCTCATTACTTATTAGGAATCTGTGTGATGAAGTCGCAGAAGCTAGATTGAGCTATTTGTTAGTGGGTTTAGTTGTCCTAACCGAATGATATTCTTTTTTTCACGCGAAGGTGTATGTAGGACGGTCCTGATACCATTGAAGCGTTGAGCTGAATCGATATGCTCTACGTGTGCCTGTATGTAAATTTGATGCTTAGAAATGGGGCCGAAAGCGATGGCTGTAACGCTTCCTTGGCATTGATGATAGAGTTTAAAAACACCGTTATTAAACAGCATTATAACGACAGCCACGAGTGTTGTCGCATCTAAGTCAAAAAATTTTACAATTTACTGCTGATATTTTCCTCACTAATCAGTGTGCAGCAATAATCAAACGGTGCCCCGGGTAACACCCATCAAGTATGTACCTAACATCTGCAAGTGTAACTATAGTATCATTGTAAGACAGGCGGTGCGCGCTACCGCACGTTATTAATAGACTTTTCAAATTGTAGGTGATTAAATGGACTAGCTTTTTGGAAAAACTATCGATATTCATGAGTATAGCTGTCGTTGAAGCTATATAAATGGCTCGAATTTTTAAGCAATCACGCGGCACATTTTACTTAGCTGGCCGAGATCATTTAACTTACGATATTTAGTCAATGAACAACTGAAAGGCTTTGTAATATTCTGCTAATGAACGGCCAGCGGTTGGCCCTTGATTGGCCTAAAACTGGAGATTTATTTTCATCATCCTAAGTAGTAGCCATTTATCTTTAAACCCGGTTCTCGTATAAGTGGTGAGAAGTCGCATTGCGTCCTATCGTAGTTTAGTCGCCTGCCAGTTATATGAAACTGCTATCTACATACTGTATGCAGGTTCCAGTATAAACAAAACCTTCGTCCGTGACTGGCAGTCTTTAGGCTTTGTTATAGAAATGCTTTATATACGCGAAATATACGAATACCATTTTCAGGCTATGAGTCGCCGTGCTGGAGGCATAATTCCTCGCCCGTCGGCAACGCTTACAGCGACCAAGGGATCCTCGTCGCCCTGTCCTCCACGCCCGGCACCTTCCACTCGAGCCACAACGACTACAGGAATTGTCATCACTCGCACGGAATACAGTACTAGATCTGAAGAGACACTTCCTCAAGTGCGATCATCAACGACGACTAAACCGTTGTCCAGTAAATCCACTTTAAATAATGTAGCTAGCTCACACAGCACAAGGCCATCGAAGGATGCTGCGGCAGTAAGTATAACATTATCTACCTATCGTTTCGCATGATTCTAATCTCATTAGCTTATAGAGATCTTTTTTTTTTTTTGTTAACTGTTGCTGTTCCTGCATTCAGTCGGTAGTGGCAGTATGTCTAACAAGCTTCTAATTATCATCACCTAAAGAAATATTAAATATCGTAGTTTCTGCATGCTTTGTTAAAACGGCGTCAGCATAGGCCTGCTTATATACATAATCGTGTCAAAGCCAGTTACACCCGTCCTATACACGTAAACGATGGCGTCAATACAATCTATTTAACAGTGAATTGACTTAGTCATAGTAAAATTAGATATTACACAAGATTTAAGCAGGAATTTATCTAAAGACAAATTTACTTATTGGAAACTTTTGCCTTCGTACATTTTTCCTTCGGATGCGGTTGTGGATGATATATTTATACGCTGACTAATGCACGCGCTGTTGACGATAGAAAAGCGGTGGAAAGCCAATATTTTCGTCGACACGCACCTCCACGCTTCCCGGAACGAATGGGAACACTTCGATTTCTAAAACGTCCGCTTCTCGGCCGACGCCTACGCGAACTGTTCGTACAACGGTAACGACTCTTATGACTAAACCTCGAACTAAGGTACACAAGCCCGATAGCAGAGTTACCCAGCTCGATAGCGTCAACTAAATTAAGTCTATATATATATATATATATGAGTATAGCAAATATGAACGAAAAAGCAGTCGACGATTTGGTGAGGGAGCAGGTCATATGTTGTATGGCAACGTGATGAATGGTCAAAAAAAGAGAGATTAATTAAGCGGGATGTGCGTAAACGGGGTTAGTTTTGCTAAATGCAAAGATGTAGCTAAATGGGAAAAATACTTTATTATATAGAGATTTTTCCCAGCACTACTTGTCAGTCATATAAGAAAATATAAAGATGTAACTGTCAACAATTTAACTCTTCCATTCCAACTAAGAGAATCTTCGTGGTGACGTACAATGAAATCCTCACTTTTTTTTTATTTTTATTATTATTTACCTGTATTATCGCACCGATACAAGGTACCTTACAATTGATCACAGCTGGCTAAATGTTTATCTAATGTTTGCGACACGAAAACATGTAGAATCGCAAAATAGAAATGTCGAACTATTTTATTAGTGTGCAACTCATATTCTAGGCTAAACGATAATTCTAATGTCTTACGTATTATATATTACTGCTGAAGCATTTTTTTTCTCTAGTACTATAGTAAGCGGATATCTAATAAATAACCCATCCCTGTTGGGCAGGCTCAAAAAAAAACTCCGCCGCTCTTTAACGTCATCAATCTCACCCCACCGTCAAATACTCAAAAATCCGGCTACCGAACCGTCGCCACGCCCAAGGTACTACCAGCCATTTGCACTAGGCACCTACGCTTAGTTACGTATTCCGTCAGATGATCTGAGGCGCGCTCCGTGATGCCCAAATTGCAGCTTTTCTTAGATTTACCCATAGCAGACCTTGCTCTGAGAAATCAGCGGATGTTCCGACCAGATGCGATTTCGAAGTAAGAGTGTCTATAATTATCGTTAACTTCTAACGATAATTTCCTAAACTTGATAATAACGTTAAGGCATGTGGACGCATGCATGTGAAAACAAAGAAACAAATAGGCGGGGGTCACGTGGCAGTTTAACACATTAAAGACAGAATTAACGTGTGCTTTCTCCAAGATGAAACTTCAAACACGAGTGCAATAATCAAAATACCCCGCGTTTGTGGGGTGTTCGATTTTCATATTCGTCGACTTCTTAGTTCTATGAGTAATGTGTTTTTTTTTTTTTTTTTATGCTGATCTTGAACTGGCACAACTTTTAAAAGAATAAGCATGTTTTAATAAAGAGTGGCACTCGTGTTGATCAGTTTCACTTCGCGTTCGTGTAACATACGAATCCTAATAATAGTATCCTTCATTTTTAGAGATGACCTAATCGTCAACCGGTTCTCCTGATTCCTGCTTTCGTTTTGTATCGCCTTTTTGCCAAAATATGCTTCATGAACTAAAACGATTCGTAATTCGAAAAGCCGATGTTTGGCGAGTGAGTCGGGTGTTGGGAAACTTTCCTTTAGGCTCCAAGTTACCTTTGCCGCGTAAAATCATCAACTATTATGTTGCAATATCGCTTTATGTCGCCGGATTTCTCTACTTGGATTGATGAGTTGAGGCAAGCAGGAAGTTCCATTGAAAGTCTGGCCGGCTTTGAGCAGTTTATAGTAAGGGACCCACATCAAATTCTGGCAATGCATAGCACTACTTTCTTTCCCCATGAATGGTCTTCCTTAGCAGACAGCTAGACGTCAACGTTATAAGGAGTTTTTTTTTGCGTTCGAAATTATCGTGCAATATCTGTTCTTTTAGCGCCGATGATAATTTTTTATCGAAGTGTCTTCCTGTCCTGTCGAGTAGGCTGCAGCAAACAACAGACAGGTAATCGGTTCCCAATGATACTTTTACTGAGTTTATACGGAAGGCACATTCCTTGTTTCTGTATCTTTTTTTTTTCTAACTCTTGGATGGCTAGCTCTCGTTTGTGCATCGAACTTTCTGAGTTAGCTGATAACATTCTCGCTCCAGAAAACGGGCAATTTGTCATTCTTGCCGCCTATTCTGAGTTTCTTAGTAATTAGACGTAAATATGTGCTTCTAATCTTCTCAAATCCCTCGAAATTCGGATTCCCCTCCAACTTTCTGCATAATCCCTGTCAATTGAGTTGCAGTTATTTGACAGCAGCAACAGCGAAGGTGACAGGGTCTTGTATGCGCCTCTTTGATCTCAACCCCGCAAAAAAGCAGCGTTAACGCTTAAGTCGCATGTAAAGAGTACAGTCGACACAGCCTGCCCACTATGCAATCTTTGCTGGAACTTAAACATTTTTAAAAATGAATGATGTTGCTAATGAATCAGCTTAAGAAGCCAACAGCCGAAAGTCGTTTGGTGCGTTCGTATTTAAACGCTAACTGTGATCTTAATAATTCTGAATTGATGTTACTTTAAAGCTGGAGGTTCAACCTTGAAATAAAACCAGTAGTTAAGGGTTAAAAATTTATTGACTTTATTTTTAGGAACGGAAAGAAACTTTCAAATTAGCTGATCGACCCTGTTTTCTAATAACGTATATCTATACATGACGTTATTACTTGAGTCCTACAAGATGTTAGTATTTGTTCGTACCACAAACGGTACTTTGAACCAAGTCAGTCTATATACATTAGTGAGACGTAAATATAACGAAGTTTGTCGTGACCATTCTTTTTTTTTGTTTTCGAATTACATCTAGGTTTGACCATTTCCAGCACATTTACATTTGTATAGGTGTTTGTCCTGCTTTAGATCTGCTTTCCCGGATTGTTTGATCTCGGAAGTGGACAGCGGTCACCCGAACGAAGCCAGGGTGTGGCCGTTACAGATAAAGGCAAATCTAAGACGAACGTTTTTTCTTGTTATTGTCAAATCTGCATGGGTTCTTTGATCTGCATTAACAGCATTTTATGGGATTATGTTAATTACTCTTAATTATCTTGAAATACATTCAGTTGAAAGGGCGCAAGCCATAGCTATGACTTGGGTACTTGTTTCTAGTAGTTTTTCCAACGGAGTCGGGTAAACAATGATCTGCACATCAATTCTACTTAGCTCTATTAGCGCTTCTTTGAAGGTTTTTGCGCGAGAAATAGCCGGAGATTAAAGTAAATAAAGGTAATCGAACATCTTGAGAATACAAGTAGCATAGTACATTAGTTATTATGATCGTGTGGGGCGTTTTGGTGTCTATTACGGATATACTTCTTGTATGAATATTTCGCCAAACAGTATAATTTCATCAGTGTAGTAGATGTCTATGTACGGTCGTCGCTATGCTCTAGCTACTATACTTCCTTTGGGCTTTCCATGTCGAATGTCCAGCCTTTACAAGTCACCGATATAGAGGACCAATATCCTCTATCTGACAACGATATTCAGCTGCATTTGCAAGTCCTATCATCTTTTGAATCTTACAATAGTCATGAATCTGTCATAACTACAACAATAATAAGTCAAACGCTATTCAAAGGGCTATTTACCGCACTTTTTTTGCTGGGGCGGCGTGTACTCCCGAAGGTCTCAATCGTGATTGCTTTCAGAGCACTTTTGCCAATAAACATCCCGATCGCAGCTTTTCCCTCCCGGAACTTGACCCCTCTCTTTTGAAGTAGTTTGTCGGGAAAGCTATTGCTTAGTTATGTACTCTCGTGTACACATCGGACATGAGATAACACCTAAACAGCTTTCACAGGCGCATGCTCCCCCGTCCCCCACGTATTTTTGCGCGGAATAACATTCGCTAGTAAAAAAGATATGCTGTCTATTACAACGCAAGATAGCATCCCTCTGTGGAAACCAATCGGTGGAAATAAGATGAGGTCGATTGTACACTTTGTTGACTCTAGTTTGCATTATTCTAATACAATCCTTTAAAGAAATTCTATCGATAGAACTCGCAATTAAGAATATAAAAACAAGTTTAATTAGAATATCTCTTATACATCTCCTCTCACATTCTTGCCATTCGAATCACACGGAAAGTTGAGTGATTTACCACCACCACCGCTATGCTTTCATCTTCATGATCCATTTGCTTCCAGGCCAACGGACCCTCAGTGCCTATACGTCCTTCACGTGCAATGGACTCGTCAACAACATTTTCCGTACAACCGTCTAGAGATTCACCAAGCAGAACCTCAGTCCGAGGAGGCACAGCGATATCCTCCTCTTCCTCGTATCACAACGGGCCAGCATTGAGAACTAAGGCTTCCAAATCTAATAGCGGTTCGGCAACGTCGAAGTCTCGAGCAACTTTGCCCAATCCGCTTTCAAAAAAATCGAACAATATGCCTTTAAATGAGGTACTACCCCCTGAAGAAAGACCTATACCCCCGGAATGCGTTCGGTACATATTAGTTTTCATTTCACCTTTGAAAAGCGTTCAGCGTGTGTTAAGTAGGCAAATTTTCTTAAATGTTTTATGAAAACATCCATACCAAACTAAGAAAAAATATATTAAGGTGATGCATTATTATTATTATTATTACTGATTTTTGCCTCGTACTCTAAATTATAAGAACGCTGTAATATTTTAGGGCCTATACCATTAGTTGGACTGAATTTGAGTCTGACTCAAATGATTTATGCACACCGGCATAGAACAATCATCACTTAATTTTTCGTGAGTGACACTTTCTGTTCTATGCAGGTGTGATATTTGTAAGCGAGGCTTTTTACCGGAGCGCCTAGATAAACACCGCGAAGTGTGTAGAAAAATCGAGAACAGGCCTAGAAAGGTGTTCAATGCCATTAAGATGAGGACAGCAGGAACCGAACAGGAGTCGTATATTCGCACAGGAGCTCACAAGAAAGACGTACCGGTTAGTACATGAATAGACATTTTCATGTTTTCATTTTTAAAGCTTGTCTGGGATGGTTTAAAGGGCGAAACAGAAGCATCGTCGGGATCAATACAGGCTTATTTCGGCACCAGCTATCGAAGGATGCAACTGGCAGATCAACGCTTTAGCACTAGTGCTAGCCTAAGAGCTACTGTTTTCATTGGTAAAGTTTGTTTCGTATATGTGATTCAGACCACAGAAACGCAGCTTTCTCAAGTTTGCAATTTTGCCTTTCAAAAAGCTGTCCGTCCTCGGTTCTTTTTCTATTAATTTTCATTGCCTCATATCTAACCTTTGGCAGTCATACAGCTTTGTAAATCGTTAGCAGTTGTTTTAGCATTGGCATCATTGAGCTGCAGCTCCGGATTGCCCCCGTAGGCCTTACCAAGATTAGATATTTATTTCATTTCCGATACTATTCCTTTTCTAATCCTTTCATCCGATACGTTCGGCCTGATTCCAGGTGAAAAAGTCGAACTGGCGCGCAAAGCATGAAGAGTTCCTCCGTAATATCCGAGAAGCGAAGAAAATTCAGTATTATTTAGCTAACGGCGGAAAGTTAAGTGATTTACCACCACCACCGCCGTCCGAGAACCCGGACTACGTCCAGTGTCCCCACTGCGGCCGAAAATTCAACGAGGGAGCGGCTGAGCGTCATATTCCGAAGTGTGCGAACATACTCTCGAATAAAAAGAAATCCCCGGTAAATGCGTCCGCGGTCGCTGGAAAAAAACGATAAAAGCCTAGTTAGTCGCTTGATGAGTAATCGCGGCATAGGTCCATATTATATGACGTCTAGGATAGCTATTAGAGTTATGGGAAAAAGAAAAGGGAGAGAACGCGCGGAATTCAGACAGACTACTCTTCACTTTTAGTTAATTCGTATTTTATTAACTCCAGATGTGCCATAGCACTTAAACCACAGTGCAGAATTGTTACAAGCACCAACGGCTGCGGAGTTTTTTAGGGTTGGACTGTCTGCTACCACTAGAACAACATACAAAAAACTACACATACGGCTTATATGTAGTATTTAGCCGGTTAGTCCTAAAATGGTAACGCATTACATTTCTAGGTCATAGAGTCTTTTATTTGACCAGAAAATGTGTAGTGAAATGTGTCCGCAGCGGTTAATAAAACCTTTTAAGGTTTGTATGGACAAATTATATTGAATCATTTACCAGTACGTATTTTCGCGCCTACTGATGTTTAGAATCAAAATAGCCGGGACCAGCTTTACCCCAATTGACCCACCAGTATGGGTCTGTGAAAGCTTTTGATGGCTCTTCGACATTTTAGTAACTACAGTGTTTCTCGGAAAGAACATGGTATTGAGATGATTGAGGTGTCGCTTTTTTGCCCTAACTGAAGATAGCTTTCTTTCATAATATGCCATTAAAATAACATATGAACATCATAAAAAGTTTGAACAGGTGTACTTCCGTTGTAAAATGGTGCAGTAGTTAATTGCATTATTCTACAATTGCAGCATTTCTAGATTATTTGATGATTATTAGGAACTTTGTCCTGCAATGTACTAGGCAAGCTTTTCTATTAGTCGCGAATCAATCACTATTATATGCGATACAAATCTCTGCGTTTATATTACGTTGGAAATAAAAAAAAAAAAGACTGATACGAAAAAAAAGTCGCTGAGATAGCACATGCTTGTTCTACGTTTCCTAGTTATTTTCAGCGTTCTCCAAATTGATATAGTGTGAGTAAAGGTCGTAATCAAGCAACCGATAATCAAGGGACAACACATAAAGTACTCATTTAGAAAGATTTCTAGGCGCTGATTTATGAATCTCCACGGTGGATAAGGAGTGCTACTGTAATGGTAAATTACAGGCGTCTAGAGCATCGGCATAAATGTCACTATGCAAAATCTTAAACGATCATTGAACATATACCAGGTGATATGAAGATTCATAGGTTATTGGGTAAAAGATATCTAAATAAAGAAAGACCAATACTGTTGCATTTCAACAATCATACGATTATATAGTAAAAGCTTCCCTTAACGCTTTCAATCAAATTAGGCATGCGTTCCGCACGTATCTATAATACCAAGAAAATGCATTTAGTTGGTCTATCGATAGGGATCAGGTCTTACTTGTCGTTTGGTTTATAAACCGCAAAATTTCTTATTTTAAAACATAAACTAAGCGAATAATTGAATTAGTTTGCATTTATGATATTCTGCCTACGTAATTAAATGCTTCTTGGAGCTGCTTGGTATAGGGTTGCAATATATATATGGCCTCCATGTGGGTGCCTTGGTAGCTGATTATTTGAAAATTATGGGCATAGTTACGGCCGATTGGAACGAAATTATGTGTGGCTCGATGCAGTTGGGCATACCTAATTTTTCTGGTAAACGAAGTTCACTCTACAGAAGTCTGAAGCGTATTATTTTACGAATATACCAAGGACAGTACCTGTCTTCGTCGGGAGTTGGGTAGACGTTGAAGTATATGACTATTCTAAGTTCTAATAAGTTTAGGAGAACCTAGATCCTCGTCTACCAGCAAGTAGAATGGCTTCGGGAGACGTTAGCATGCAAAAAGGAAAATCTAAGGACCCTAATAATGAAGAACCACGTCGATCGACAAGGTTTCCAGGGATCTCGCAGTTGCTGCGATCACCCATGGATCACTATTCCGATCATAGCCGAGCATCTGTCGTAGATTTCCCTTCGAAGAAAATCCAGGATGCCAGTCAGGTCCAGCGCCTACTTAGCGTACCTGATACCGATGGGGATGAACTCCTGCAATTGCTGTGCCGCCGCAGCACTGAGCAACGGATGGAAATTAACTGCGAGTTCAAGAAGCTTTTCGAGAGCGATATCTCTGCCGAAATTAAACGTGCTATACCGAAAGACTCGGAGCTTCGACGCCTACTGCTATTCCTCGTTACGCCAAACGACGAGTATCTTGCCCAAGAGCTGTGGGATGCACTCTGCGATGCTAAAAACGTGGATCTGCGTACCATTATTGGAATTATGGGTACCCACAAATGGCAAGATCTACAAAAGATCCGTTGTGCGTACTTCCGACGCTTCCAGCGATCTCTTGAGAAGGTGGGAAATCTAGTAAACGTACAGCAGGAGCGTTCTTATCGAATAAGATGTATTATAAATGGTAGTGTCATTGAAACAGGTCGTTGTGAGCTAAGACCATTGCCATCTTGTGCTTTTGACGAAGCGGTAACTAAGATTAGTAGAGCAAAAGTGATTTTTTTAGTAGTAGTAGTAGTTGTTGTGAATTTACCCAGTTCACGTTAATAGAATCTACATTATACATGTCGAGGCTTCCGCATGCAGTTTTAAATTTATCCCGTCGAATAACTGAGCCATCTTTTTCCTTAGGATCTGGTCCGCGTCAAAAATCCTTTGCGCTGCGGACTTCTTCACATACTAAGAAATGAAGTTGATAATAGGCCTGTGGACATGAATAAGACGAAAAAACACTCAGCTTTTTTGGGCAGAAGCACAATTGAACGAGGTGAAGAAACCACGAAAGTTTTCATGCAGGTATGTCTGCATCAGTTGAAGACGACCCCTTTTTTTAGGGCAGTTAACTTACGCAAGAGAGAAACTGTCGAAGAACCCAGTTACCGGCGTAAGCTGTAGTCATTAATACTGCGAAAGTTTGTATTTGCAGCCATGATATATGCAATACTGAGAGCTTTTTAGCGTTAAAAAATCAGTAACGTGTTGGTTGGATGTGTAACTGTAAATGTAAGTATTGTTATTGATGTACGTAATTATTCTCGATTTTTTCATGTTTTTACCAGTATGCTCACTTATGTTCAAAATGTGAAGACCCGCTTTTTGCTAACACTTAGCAGCTCCTTATTGCTATCGTGACTATCTACTATTACTAAGGTCAACGTACACACAAGAGAAAATGATACGTTTCCCAGCGTAAGGCTAGAAAATCAAGATACCGAATTTACGCCACAATATTACTCGTGTATCCGCTGTTGTAACGGAGATGTGTGCTACAGAGAGATGCGAAAGTGGTGCCAATTTGTAGAACTTGTCAATAACATATATTTAGTTGTGTTAAGATCATAGCAACATCGTTGGTAAAGGCGTTTTCCTTTGGACATAGCGTTTATCTGCCCTAGACAACGTATCGTTTTCTAGGCTGCATGTAAGTACGGATTCGCCCACATGCGTGTTGTAGACTTAGCGCGGCAAAAGATAAACTTCGAGCCAATAGCGGACGCGGCCCAACGATTGCTAGGGGGTAATGAAGGCGCTTTGGTCGCAACGCGATTCCGGATAGCGTTGGATGAGCCTGCTTATTATGCGGAAACGCTACGGAACTCTTGTCAGGGTATGAGTACAGATCATGCGACGGTTATACGCATCGTAGCCGGGAGGTAAGGGTTTGGATGTATCTCTATTTTATATCAAATTGTCATTATAAGGGCTAGTCGGTGATGTTTGTGTAGTTTGTATCTTGTAATGGCAGCAATGAAAGAATGTTTGTCCCGGTGCACTTCCGTGCAACCATTAACTTGGGTATCATCATATGTATATTGAATTGCAGGTCTTCTATTGACATGCAAGACATCAAAGTAGCGTTTAGGAACAAGTATCACCAAACTCTGGAGCAATGGCTTCGTGGAGGCACTGTAGGATTTTACCAAGACGGCCTTGTTCGGCTCACTCATGGCAATCGAGCTGAAGTAGACAAACTTACGCTTGTGCAAAAGCCAGATTCATAGGTGTAATCCGTAAACCGTTGGATACTTGAATTTGCTGTGTGTGTATTTACCTATACAGGTTTCGGTTTTTGGTTTCTGTTTTCAAATGCTCCATATGCCCGTTTTCCTATTTCTATTGAAGATCATTTGCTCCAGGCACTACAGGAACCGGCAGTGACTGTAATGAAAAGCCAGTTAGTGAAATAAAACGAAAAGCAGAATTTGTACCGTAAACATATGTAAAATAGCGTGAACCATTGTTGTGGGCAGAGGAAATATGATAAGTATAGTCGTTCTTCAAATGCGTGTAAATATATATAGTAAAAAATAAGTAATATGCTAACGTTTCCATTATTCCCACAAGGATATCAAAACAGGATCAACCTTCATCATAATTCCTGTTAGGAAAAATTTTCGAACTCACAATGAAAAAATGGCGGGAGTATGAAAAATGGAGGGAGTAAGCACCTCTGTACGATCGAGGCCAGTCTATTGGCCTTAATTTACTCACATGGCAAAGCTGCTGTTGATGTTAGATCACTGATCCAATCCCTGTAGGGGATCATTCGACGAAAATACTGTTCGTACACGACATAAATCGGTGTTTCAATATTTACACCGTTGAGCCATATGGACGACTGGCCACAGCTGCTTTCAGCGCAATGCTCTACGCTTGCTCCGATTTACACCCCAATAACACGGCTCCCGTGGCTCTCGAACTCTTTGGGGGCGCTCCAGACGAAATCGCGTGACATGCGCCGATAACTTCCGCATGCTTGCTCTCCGTCACAGTCAACTATTTACCAGCAGAGACAAGCTGCGAGTTCAATCGACAGCTTGCCCTCGCACTGGGAAATAGTGTTCAGGCAAGCTGCCGCCGCCGCCGCCTCTTCCGTCCCAGCGGTGCCGTAACTATGTCCCGCAGTCGTGTAAATTATATTGTATATGCAAAAATCACTGTGCCACTGATGTAGCCATCGGTTATAGAAACAACTGCGGAAAATCTCTAAATCATACCAGTAGAATAATAAAGCATGGTATCAGCGTCACTGAGTGATTTGGAGACGTAACCATTCGTTAACACAACCATGCACTTAATAATGCGATGTACATCTTTACAGATTTTGGAATCGACTTAGCATGATTTATTAATTTCATGTTACTTCATATTTATGAAGTGCTTGTTTTCTCCTGGTGGATGCCATTCATTTCAGTATATCGATTTGCTTTAGACTTTCTACGCCTCTTGTGAGATTGTTCTGAAAAGAAAGGTAGAAATGGCGAGAACATCTGGAAAAGGGCTACATGACGGGGTCGTTTCCTGCGTCCTTTCTATAGAACTATCTATTTCTAGATTCCGTTCGTCACGCCGAGAATTCTCACCGTTTTCCGTTTATGTACACCCGTGCTCGTTGCTACTTTAATTCAGCTCCCCGACGAGTCAAATAGTTGACCGAACTGCCTAGTCCTCCGTTGTATGCCCCTTGATGGCATATTTGCCCCCACTCCCGCGTTGTCCATAAGTCATCGGCGTTTAACCATTACGAGCCATCCTACTATTCTATATATATATATTCTATATACAAAGAACAGCGAACCAAACTAGTCTAGTCACACAGAAGCCTCCGAGGTGAGAGTGGCGTGCCCGGGAAAACCCCCCTTCATCATCCTTCTCCAGCCTGATGAAAACCTAAATGAGCTGTCGAATACGGCACATACATCACATTCCTGATACGTAGCATGCCTCACAAGTCTCCTAAATGCAGATGACCCTAACAGACGGTTGGAGCGGTAGTCCTTCAAACAGCTTGTTGTCAAGCTGCTATCCGACAAGCCAATCGCCAACGTGCAGGGCACGGCTCTTAGAATGGAGTCTTCTGATGACGTTGAGATATAAATTGAACACGTAACTTTTAGTTGCTGAGTTGAGTATGTATATGAAGCAGATAAAGCGTGATTAACTTTAGCTCTGTTATTAGGCGTTACCTTTACTAAACACCCTTGAATCCAGTATACTACCAATCATAAAGCGAGTATAGAACTAATAACCAGGGGTAGTAATTTAAAAAAAAGCTACTCCATTATACCTTATTATATATATAAACTTAGTACCAAAATACGGTGGGCCTCTATGTACACGGTGGGTTAGCTTATTTAAATCTTACTCTATTATCTATCTTCCTGTCCAAAGAGTTTCCAGGTGCGCGCGAAGGCAGCCAGCATTTCTTTATTCATTTATTGACTCACACTTTAATTATTATTGGTAACAGGCACGCATTAAATCATTATTCGAGAAAATGCACGGTTTCACTCAAGTGTCGAACGATAAGAAAGCTGTATACAAGTGAAAAATAGTAAATTGAAGTTTCCATGAAGTAAAATTTCGGTGTCGAACTGCGGTTTTAAGAACTTGCATGTCGCCCTTGTATGTGTTAAGGAAGATACATCCTATAATGACTAGCATGTAGCACAGGTTAAACTTCAGGTGAATAAATCAGAAGTTTTCGTCACGTGAGACTTCATGCTGGAATGGAATGCTGCTTAAAATCCGATGTCAAATCTGTATGTAATGGGACCGTTGTTAATTTGTGTTCGAAAGTGACGAATACGAGTGTTCGAAAATAGACATCAACGCTCTATGAGCTTCACCGACAACGTGATGGCAGCTTCTCAGATATTGAACAATCAAAATGCATTAGCACTTATCTACCGGACAACTTCGCCGTTATTTACGGCGTCTGACACAAGTGTGATCGGGCTTTTGTTCCATTAAATGTTTGATGATCATTGAGTAACGCCGCCCATAGACATCACACACATTATAATGTTTGTTTCCTCTTCGCAGTTCTGGAGCTCACTGAAAGCCCTGTAGCCGAGCGCAAATTGCCTCTGCACATACATTAAAATAAAAAATTCTGCACATACGCATCAACACTGAAGCGAAAATCTGCCTCTTCAGTTAAATCTGCCTCTTCAGTTAAGACCATGAAGTGATTTTTAGTTTTTATAGTAATTTACTTTTTATTTAGGCTTTCGTGTTTTTTGTGCGTTACTTGAACTCATTTTTATTTTTACAATGTTTGCTTACGTTGGTTATGTAGTTTGTTACATTTTGTTGCTTTCCTTAATCCAGAACTCTATTGAAATAGTTTCTGTACGCTAAGTACTGTGGATTCAAAATAGGTATCCACACATGTTTGTTATGTCACCGTCACTCATGCGGCGGTCCAGTGATTAATGTAACGTATTATAATGGTGGTTGCAGGAAGGTCAGCTAGCCAATTCCTCGACTCAGCGCAGGTTTACTCTTTCGTTTTCTTGGTGCCATGCTGCGTTCTTCTATTGCTTGAATGAGTTTTCGTTACCGACGCCTTTGACTTTGGTGTACTCCCCTTATCGACGGTACTGTACACCTTATCTTTCATAGCGACGTACATTTTCTGCGGGCTTAGATTTTCGTTTATCTCCTTAATTTTTTCACAGGCCTGTACTCGGCTGACGACTCCAAGCATGAGGAATGGGTGTAGAAAGTAGAAGATAACATTCAGCAAGAACATAGCCAGCTTGATGGCACGACGAGTTGGGCCAGTTTCGATGGATCATTTTGCGGCAAGGGAATTTGTAGAACGGAACAAACATGGCTTGTTAGCGATGGGAATGACACTACGCTAAGCTTGTGTAAAATAAATGTACCGTCGTCCATCTCGGCAGAGATCTATCCAGCAATATTTGATACAAACGTATTGAAAAGCTGTTGACTCGGCCTTTCTAGTAGACATTCATTTGGAAACAACTGTTCATACAGGTTCTTGCCCGGCGTACCACCCTAGGGCTTTTAACATTAGCATAAACTGTTTTCAATGGCTAATATGGGACACCAAAATGAGACAAAAACGAGCGAAATTCCTCTGCACCGACAATTGGCTATCATTTACCTTTTCCGAAAATCCACCACTAGGATGAATGGGCTCTACTTCGCAGAAACCTTCGAATGCAATCCGGTCGTCTTTTAGCCCAACAATCGCCTTAATAAGTCCAGAGATTAGAAGTGGCAGTAACGGCGCCAGCCAGTAGAATGGTGCTACGCAAGAGCATGTTGGGGCGCACTCCGTCATCGTTTGGGCTTCTTTATTTTCTATGTTCCTATACAACAGCAAAAGTAACCCTTAAATAATAAAGCGCATTTGCGGGGCGAAAACATCACCTTAATATCCAGCCGATTATATTCGTGAACGTTTAGAGAGACTGACCGTTTTTGCTTGCACATATGTTCGGAAAGGGTAAACGGCATTGACCACCGTTGAAGAATTGATAACGAGTGAGGAGATTTCGTCAAGTTCCTATTGGGAAATAGATATTGATGATAGATCTTTTTGACAAAGACAAATTTTTGCTAAAGCAACTTTCCGGCTCTGAATTGTTGACGTGCAAATGAGCGTCACCTTCGTTGAGACAATGAGATAAACAATGCATACCTTTTCTTTCCTGTTTATGTTTCTTAGTCAATTGGAAAATGTATCTGATAGCTTCGTTGTTGCATCTAACTAACTAGTATAGCCATGAAAGTGGTGCTGCCACAGGCGAAAAAAATTACTATCCAGTTTTATTTTGCAAGTGACGTTACATTTTTGTTTAAAATTTTATTAAAATTAAAAAAATTATTTGGCCTAAATCGGTTGGCGCTTGGCAAGGTTACCACATGACAATGATTTTGGTTGTACTTAACGCATTAATGTCAGTACCTGTATTAATAAAGAAGCAGATGAATGTCATTAGCTGCTAGAGGGGATCAACATAAATATGTCGTTCGAAAATGGCCAATGCATGTACTCGTCGTGAGAGGTATAGGGAAATTTCGACGAGAAAATAGACGCGTGGCATTGTGGTTCTATTTTAGGGGCAATATCCTCGTTAAACTATGCAGTTCAAACACACTTCTGATGACTGTCTTATTTTTATTTTAGTGTACATTTAGCACTTGTCCTATTCGTTTTCAATAGGACGAGTTGTGAACGCCAACGTACTGCCTATACCGCTATAGCAGATACGGTACTTTGACTGCGGCTGTTTCCCTAAGGAATACTTAAATAAACATCGATACTTAAACGAAAGTTCTTATTCCTGATGGCTCAGCTTTATCCAAACTATTCTTCACAACGATTACGGCGGGGCTAAATAATTCGGGATCTAAACGCGCCGTCAGAACTGTGGGTGCTGGTGTGTTGACCGTTAGGGAACGTACATGCCCTGCATGCAGGATGCCCGTGATCGCGAGCTGCGCGGTTTGTTCACGTGTCTCGGATGCGGATCACCCCTGGTGACCTCGCAAAAGGAGCCCCTTGAGTCCGGTTCTGACGTCACTGTACCTGAAGATACGGACATGGATAACGAGTAAATTTGGTAGAATATTCGGAAAAGTTCATATGTGACAAGCAATTATAGCTAGTTGTCCTGTTTTACCGTTCGACTATCAGGTGTCATCGATTCCGTTTGGTCAGAGGCAATCACTATGTCTGAATATGCCCAGTTAAAAGTAATAGTATTGCGGATACAACAATGGCTGTTATTCTATTTTGTGGAACAAAAGTGGCACGAGTACAGATGTTATTATCCAACTATTCGCGCGGAATAGTGCGCGACAGTTGGCCAAGAAAGATTAGCTGAATGGCATGCCGAGAAATCTCTGCTTAGAGCACGCGTTGCTCATATATGAGACGCGGACTTCAAAACACCTCAACCATTACTTGGCTCAACATGGCATCTAAAGTAGCGTAAATTCATTTGAAATAAAAATGAGCACGACTTCACCGACAGGTTCTGGGCGTTACCAATAACGAATGTTTAGAAGGATGTCATAATGCCCAATATCTGAATATAACAGCGTTTTACTGAATCATTAGTTGCCTAAATGCTAGATATATCCTCAAATGCGAAGTTTAAATTTTATATAAAGTTTTAAAATACGTTTCTTAGATGAGTAGTCGCTCATAACGCGCATATCTACAAATCAGCCAACATGTAATTCAGAAACACTCTAACAGTTAATAGGGCTACCTGTTGAATTCGCTTATCTAGAGACAACTTACCCTGTACAAGCTGGTGTCCCGTGGACTCACTGCAGAGTTTTACCACGACCCGTTAGTCACTTTCGAAATATTTTTTAGTCGCTAACTTGCGGTTAATTTTTTCGTAGTAACTGTGTGTCAAACAGTATAGGTAGGTGTAAACTCGTCATATATGCGAAATACAAAAGATCAAAATTTTAATTATTAATTAAATTAAAATTTAAGATGATAACAGGTCATAGTACCAAAAACGCAAGAGCTCAAAAAGCCCAAATAATGCAAAAAAGCCTAAGAAGCTTTAAAAAAAACTATACTTTAGAGCTCATCTGAGCGACTGAATTGACAGTGGACATTTTCCTCCCTAAGATAACTGTTAACTTCTGTATCTGAAATCCAAGTGTATCACGAATGGCCTTTCCAGCCACTTTGATGACTTTTCAAGCCTCTTCGATCTGAAACCCATTAAGGATCTCACGGTTTGTCTCACGGAAATCTCTTTTAAATTTTTGGAAGCTGCGTGGAAATTAGCAATGACGTAGGCCATCGATCCAGACACAGAAGAGGATTTTTGATCCTGATTAAGGGTTCATCCAGCGCGAAGAAATAACTACGGCGTTTTAATAATATTTTAATATTATGGACTTACATTATGTTATCCTCGCATTGTAGCAATATATCTTTCACTAACCAAACTTCCTTTTGTACGCTCAGTTGAAACGGTTTTTATTCTTTGAACAACAGAGCTAAAGGAGTTAATCTAAGACTGATGAAAAACTTATAATATAAGGAAAAACGACTTCTTCACTATATCTACAAAAACCACTATCGTATTAGAGACTATTTTGACAACGTTTCACATTATTTCCACTGATTCGCGGCCTAAGAGAAATACGTGGTCTAAATTACCTAGTTAAACGTCCAGGTGGAACTTGGTTTTATTTGATTCAGTTATTCCATGGAATATCACCTTTTAGTAATCTGTCGTAAAACTAATTTAGCTTGTAATTTTCACTTACATCCCTGTGTTTAATTCAGCTGCTGTCAGTTTCCAGAATTCCGTATTATTACATAAGAACATGATGGGACAAATACGCGAGCTTAGTAGAACAGCCCTGATTCTCCTGTATGTGCAGATAACTAATAAAATTAATAAAAAAAAAAAAAGTCGAAGTTCATATTATTCAATGCAAATCTCAATCGTCATGAAAATGTGCACGTACGGTTGATCCGAAAATAAAATTCATCGTGCTGCGGGCATGAAACATAAAAACAACAGACATGTTAGAATTCAAACGTTTTTGTGAGTGGCACAATATGGATGCATTAGAAATCAATGGAGTACCTCATTAAATCGTCCTCTGAAATGTATAGCCGTAACGTACTTCGGTATTAAGCTTAAAGACACGCACGTCTTTGATCGACACCTAACGTAGACACACTTTATTTCGTACTGGGAGCTATCCGCTAAACGGTGCTTAACGAAAATACAAGACGACAAAATGTGAAGATTCAATTGATCAAAACTCCGTGCGCTTATGCATATGCTTTGCTAATGTTAATAACTTACGAGGTAGTTCGTTTCTAGTTTACGTTCGTTCCGCCCGAAGACGTACAAGTTCCAGTGGTGACCACACTACGATTATTAGACCCTTGAGGGAACCTGTCTATTCTGTCAGAAGTCCGTTAAGGACTTTTGAGAAAGCGGACGACATTTAGAATATTCTAAACGTCCTACGGTTAAAAACTTTAGAACATCTAAAGTGACACTGTGTTTTTCATTAGCTCAAAAGAGTACTATCGAAGACCATAGGTACCATAAAGGAGACTAAAATGTAACGACTTCAAAGCATACAACAAACGGCGAGGTCGCTCCACTTAACGTATCGCGTAATCGAGAAGGAGAACTGAAGCTTTGTAAGATCGTACCATGCATTTTAATGTAATCAATGCATTTCCATTAAACATGATGCCGAGTACTCGGAATACCGTTGTTAAAGAAAAATGGAATACTGACAAAGCTCCGGGAACTCCGCAATCAGAACCTTTGATAGCGGCATTTTACGTGAAGGGAATGTCGCATAAGTTAAAACATCAGACGATATTGAATGTGTGGCTTTTACTCAGTCCTATTTCGGCAGATCAATTCCTGGAATTTTTTTATGCCTTGTCCTTATTCTTAACCATCCAGAGCTATAGGAATACGGTACGCACTGCGTGCATCGTAACAACAATGTGACAATTATGTTTAACTCGTATAAAAGCAGTTAGCCAAGTGTCAAGAAAACATGGTAATAACTTAGCAAAATTACGGAACTATGAACACAAAATGGAAGCAGACAATGAAATACTTTGTCACGATAGAGTATTTTTGTAGTAAGGAAGAAATCAGAAGAGGCTTAGAAGATACACATGGAGGTTGTGTGGCTCCGAGACAGAGTGTGCACAACAGGCCACCGCCAGAGTAATACCTATAGAAACTCCAGGATCTAAAGTTGTAACAACCCAGAAAAAAATCCGAACTACGTTGAAAATAAGTTCATTTCGACGCAACTGGTGATTATTGTATATTCCGAATTTGGACTTCGTGCTGTATGTTTACAAATTCATGGTTTCCATGGCAACTTGACGGAACAAATGTTCCAAAATACTCTACGCTTATCTGTAAATTTCCGCACAATTTTTGTAACGCAGCAGGTGCCATGGCGAAAAGCACTCCGATTATCGTTACGGTGTACAGCCGGAATATTGTTGTGGAATTTGATTCAATCCCAATAAGTCGAATACACTGATGTATCATTTCGTAACTGAGTCTAATAACAGCGAACCTAAAAAGGCTTCCGTGCCTTACGTGATATTATTTTGAATATTTTATAATGCATTAAATTAATCTAAGGCTTTACCTCTCGACCAATTTGTAAAGGTGGCAGAATTTGTCAAGGTGTAAAATTGTTTAGCGGTGCCGAAATTATGCAGGTAGATATTCTTCATACGAATAAGCCCACAGGCGTTTGCGGCACAATGTTTTATACGCAGATGCCCGAAGACAAGCAATCTCCGACAGAAATTCGCGATACTGGTTAGTCATTAGCCAATATGATACAGGATATCTTGAAATCTGACTTATTTAGCTAGCTTAAATGTCCTGGCCCACTCGAGGGCTGCAGTATTATTTCAGCTTAAGTTTGCCCAAGCGCTTAAGGGACTCCTTGGGACTAGCTGCTGCCTTTAAAAATTGGTACTCATGCAAAAACTGTCATTGTACAACCGGATATGACGGAGTCGGCGCCTTAAACTTTGATCAGCGGCAGCCGAATGGAGATCATGATTGCATCTTGTAATGTCTGCTATTTGGTACCCACAAAGCGACAGATCAGAAGGCGTATTAACGAATGTAGATGGGTATATTTTTTTCGATTCTTCTCATCCTTACGCTATTAATATATTAGTTTGGATAATAATTTAACTATGGATGAAACCACGAGCGGAGTGTAGAGGATGTT